CAGCCGGTCTGTATGTGGGATCCGAACCCTCGGCGGGAGCGCCGCCGCACTCCCAAGCGGCGCACTGAAGCAGTGCGCCACCGGGCCAGCCCTAGGGACATCCTCTCTCCTGTGTGCGAGGTGAAAAGGAGTATCAAATAAAACACTGTGATTGGCCACTTGCCACTTTTGACACTTGCAAGGAAGGGTGTTAGCAGCCATTTTTTTCAAAGGAGGTCAGGATGGGGTGGAGCAGGACAAATTTATTGCATGACTGTAGCCCAGAGATTTGCTTCCCCCAGGTATGTTAACAAGGTGGGGTCTTCCACCACCTCTGGGGGTCAGACATCCAGAACTGACATTCAAGAGAAATTATGCAGAATCACCCTTGGCACTAAACACAAGCTAAGCCTTTATGGTATTTACTATGAAACTAAAAACAGCAGCTACAAAAAGTCACATAAACTGTGTGACTGGCTATAAAAATGGGAAAGTATTCTCTTAGCCCTTTCTTAAAAATTGTGTCAAACACACTTTAGAACACCATCCAAAGGAAAAGAGTATGTGTTTATATGTGTTTAGGATTAATATACACTGTTAAAAAGCCTTTATATACATTATCTAACCAAATCCTTACCAATCCTACGAGATGGGTGTTATGCCTATATTACAGGTGAGGACTCTGAGGTTCAAATAATTTAAGTACCTTGCTCAAGGTCACAGAGATAGCAAGAGAAAATTCCATGCTCTCTCTTTCAATGAGGCATCTCAATTTCAAGATAAGGAACAAAAATGCAAGAACATGGAAGTTTCGGAGAAAAGTCAGGCATGATCTTTGGCTAAGGCAAGTATCTTCCAAAGCTCTGCAGTACATTTAAAGGAATTATTTTAAAAAAAAGTTTCAAAGTTAAGTCAGTCAGGAAATGCTTGGGATATACAGGTTGTCTCTTCTGCAGGATTTCTCAGTCTTTAATACGGGAATATGGATCACAGATTGCCAAGAGAAGACTATGTATGGAGATTTTCAAGAGGTCTCTTCTGTTAATACACTGGAAAAAGTTGAAAATGAAAACGGACTTCCTTGAAATTGGCTTTGGAAAGGAGACAAACGCATCTCAAGCTTTCGGGACACACTTGATGACCCTCAGCCCCAATTTCCCCTCAGGGTTTCATATTTTCAAATCCCGAAGTGAATTAATTTGGTAATTTGACTTTGGCATTTAAGAGGACTGCATGACTTGCATCATCATAAAAAAACAGAGCCGGCTGGAAATTGGTGAGTGGAAGCATTAGCACAGTAACTGGAGGTGAGACTCGGGAACAGAATAGATCTGCATCGGGTCTCTGCTCAGGATCAGCCAGTTCCTGCACTTTGTAGGGCTGATCAGGGAGCCCGGGGCTCACTGGGTGCCAGGTGGCTGTGGTCTCCTCTCCTCCACTTCAGGACTCATATGCACCCTTCTGAAAGCCCAAGCAGGAACCAGATGCTTTCGAGGAATATCTCAGAGCTGGGAGGGGCCTCAGAGTTGCCTGTTGAGCACACAGGTGAGTCTAGGGGCCACACTGCAGGTGAGACTTGACTAAGCTCTCTTGATTTTCAGTCCAGAGCTCTCCTCACCACAGCCTAAACTGCAACAGCTAGAGGCTCACTCTATTTCTTACTCAACAAAAATGAGTGTTTTCAATGCATACACACTGTATTTGGAATACTAAGTTTATTTCTATAATTGTCCATCATGAAAAACTAGGACATAATTGAAACAGGGTCATTGTTTGTTCATTGATGACCTCTCAGAGCCTAGAAGAGACCTTGGCACATAAAATGTGCTCTATACATTTCTGCTGAATTAATGAATAATGTGGCATCTTAGCAGATTATATACTGTTACCAAAAGTATGTATTAGACTTTTAGAAAGCTTGCCTGACCATGAAGCTAAAGTTTGCTTCCCAGTTCTTTGCACGGGGGGTGCAAGGGCACTGGGAGTGGGGGTGGTGAACAGGATTTCAGCAGCTGAACTGGGATCTCCAGATAAAGAAGTGAACCAAAACTCAGCAAGAAGAAAATGAGTTGTTTGGCTGTCATTTTTGGCTCATTTATAATATTTTCTTTGTTTCCTTTTAGGTGAACAAATACAGGAACTGGTACCTGTAGTCTGATATGAAATGAAAGATTTCCAACAGTTTTTAAATGGATGGATTTCAGGGCAAAGGCTATCTTCTTTTTATAAAAGAGGTAGTTAATAGCTTATATTGTATAAGACTGCCCATGCCTCCTTCTAAAAAAATCATTCTCTATTATAGCTTTAAAAAACGGCTTAACTAGTCTTTGAACAGGCCACATTCATCAGTAAAAACTGATTCTGTATCACTCTCAACCTCAAACAAAACATTCTGAATAGCTATTTCTGAGCAGATGCCACCCAATAATATCTTATGCCATTAAAAACATTGACTCAAATACCAACAGATACAACTTTATAGCACCATTCCAAAATACTAAACTTTCTTTGCACCTTTATTTTTATCTTTTTTTGGTACACATTTAAAGTATGGGCATCCTGTAGATTTCTGAAAAGCCCCATAGAAAAAAAAAACAACTAATTTTTAGGACAAAGCAATAACTCAGTTTATAGACAAGATGATCTTAAGCAGGCTGTAAATTCTTCATGGGCTTCTGCAAGTCTTGATTCTGGGGTGAGAATGTAGAAAGGATGCTAAAGTCTTCCTGGATTATTCTAGAGATTGGGTTGCATATCAGTATATAAAAACTTGTTGCTCAAAGGCCAAACTCTGGGTATTTGTTACAACTCAAACCATGACAACAACAGTCTTTTGCAATAATTTTACTCTTCTGATTGACAAAAGAACTGGGATATTAGATAATTTCAAAGTTCATATACACCTTTTATTCACACTCTGTAAGAGAGAGATTAGAATATTCCCTCTTACAAATCTCCATATTTTAAACTCAGAGCACTAAAATCTGTTCTTAGCGAGCAGATGCATTTAAAGCAGAATTATAAATGGGTTTTTAATTCAACATATATTTGGCTGCATTGTTATGTAAGAAGACTTTTTGACTAAGTAATGTGGGAGTTGATAGATGGTGAGACTGCTTGCAGAAAAAATGATTATTTTTTTCTCATGACACTAAAGAGTCACATCTCACACTGATTATAACCACGTGTTCTTGTCGAACTCTCCCATATATCACCATGTAATGGGAACTAAACAGTAAGTACGGCAAAGGCCTGGGAACTACGGAGTACACTGTGATTGGAAGAGGGGTGAGAAGAGGTAGAGTCAGAATAAGAAGGGGGTCCACTAACGGCACAATTATGCAGCAGTTTCAAAGAAATTGATTGTTACACAATAACAGTCAATGACCCAGGAAGAAAAAGTTTAAATTAGAAGTGACTAGTATCAAAAAGCTACTGTGCACCAGGTAGAAAGGGATATGGGAATAATATGCCCTGAAATAGAAATAATCACTTTGCACTATGTACACCACATACAATATAACATATTCTTTTTAACATTGCACAATATAAATATTATACACAGTGGAGTAAATTAAATGCAAAATAACTTTGAGGCACACAGAAGAAACATGGAATAGAGTGAACTTTGAAATTAAGATGGAGTTGGTAAAAGGCAGAATGTTACATTTTCAGGCCAGTAATCTTTTGAGATCTCGCCTCAAGAGGGTTGGCAGTCACCTCCCGTATACACTGAAAATTGTCATACCTCAATGTCCTTAGAGTTAATTGCTTCGAAGAAAGACTAATTAGCTAAATAATTTGAGAAAGTCAAACTGTTGCTCCCCACTCTAAAGTAGGTAACTTCTAGAGGTCCCTTCCGACCTTAGGGTTTTAGAATGCGAGTAGACTGCTGTATTTCCCCTATTTCTTGTAAATAACTTGGTTACTATGAAAACACTTTAAGGAAACTAGAACAGTATTCAAGAACACCCATCACAGTGCTTAACAAGATTTAATGTACATTTATTCTTAACATGTGGAACATATAAAGATTTTATACTGAATAAATGATATTCATTAAGCCAGAGGAAAAGGAGGAATTTACATCAACTTTTTTTCTTTTCTTTTTTTAAACTACATTATCTTGAAATACAAATGTGGATTCTCGTCACTGAAAAAATCTTTGAAGTTGTGTTTCTTCCTTTTAGTTGTATTTTTTTCTTTTTTGTCTGTACTGGTAGCCATTTTCTAAATCAATCCATATGCAACCATTTCCACACCTTGATTCATAAAGCAAATTGTGATCAGCTGCTCTCCCGAAATAGAGCATGACTTTATACATACAGAAACTTGTACATTACCCTCTTTTTTGTTTTTTTTTTTGTTTGTTTTTTGTATTTTTTCTTTCTTTTTTTTTTTTTTTTTTTTTTTTTTTTTTTTTTTTTTTTTTTTTTTTTTTTTTTTTTTTTTTTTTTTCCTTTTTTGGAGATATGGCCCTAATGAAAAAATATATAAAATAAAAATAAAAAATTATTTAAATCTACCATCACTTCGTAGTTACCACATCATGAAAAAGAAACTAAAAACTTTGTACTAAAAAAAAAAAAAAAAAAAAAAAAAAAGAAAAGAAAAGAAAAACATGAGGGTATGTTTAATGTACAACTTCTATATACATCACAGCCCACAGGCAGTAAAAAAAATATTTAAAAAATGATTAAAGGAATTGTGAAGAACTGTCATGTGGAAGGTCAAGCGACAGACAGCAGACGTAACTGTAGTGGTGAGGAAGCGACTTCCGTTGATCGCTGTCAGGTATGTATTTTCAATCGTAACTTAAAAAACATTGTTTTTGCTCCTAGCCTAATGTAACCATTTTCCTGTGGAGAAACCAGTATTATTTCGTAGTTCTGATTACTGACCAACACACCTCCTTGAGCCCCTAGACCTGTATCTCTAGAAGTTTCTATTGCACAGAGCTTGGGGTGATGGGATGCAGTTTTTTCATTCTCTGAAGAATAAAACGCATAGGAAATTGGTAATTTTACACCTTTTTGCCTCAGTGTGGTGAAATTTTCCCATCTTAGCATCTTTAGCCACAACTTTTTTCTTTACAGTCAATTCGCTTCCCAGTAAAAATGCAATACAACATGGAAAAGAACATTAAAAAGAAAATCTGTGAAAAACAAAAAGTGACTTTTGAATGCACTAGACAGCAACTTTGGTTAAAAAAAAAAGAAATTAACAAAAAACCCCCAAAGGATGTACTTATACACACAGACAGCAAATATTAATTTTATAACTGTTCAAATTAATTATTTCTTTAATTCCCAATTGGTAAATAGTGAATGGGGCAGAAGAGCAAAGACGTTCTTTTCCTTCTTCCTACGCTGGATAAACAAGAACAGAAAACAGCCAGTCATATGTGACCCTCTGACCTTCACTCACACATGCTTGCCCGCTCACTTATGTCATAACTGCCCAATCTGAAACAGTACATCACAGATGACAGACGCAACCAGAGAGTTCAGGACAGCTGATATCGAGATATCCAGCAACCGACCCTCGTGCAAAAGGAATTCTGAGCGGTTTTCGTCCACTCTGGCCATGGCCAGCAAAGCCTTGGCCGCCCTGCACATCATGTCCACGCTAGGTGGCTCCAGAGGTGGGGGCTGCATGTGCATGAGGTTGTGCTGGCTCTGCTGGTACTGGGCCATCGTGACCCCATCCTCTAGGAAGCTTATCAAGTTTCCAATGCTTCCTTTCTGCACAGCTATTGCCCTTGCTGCTAGCGCGTCCCCCTGTGCAAGGTTCGATAAAAGCGCCATGGACATTTCTCGACAGACTGGGTTTTTGCGATCCCCAACGTACCTAACTAACGTAGCATAGAATTTCTCCTGACGACTAAATGGAGGAGTGGCCAAGATCAGGTCCACATTATTGTCCTGGATACTGAGTTTACAGAGGGTCTCCAGCACAAGTCTCTGAGGCGACAGGACTGAGTTGGGTCCCACAGTTGGAAAGGGGTCTTGTGCCTCTGCAGATGGGCACACCATCCAGTGCAGCAAGCCATCCAGAATTGGCAAGCAGATGCTCTCTGTGTAAGCAGACAAGTCCAGCTGCCCAGAGATGTTGGCGAGCGTGACCAGCGTGTTGTCCCGCAAGACCTCGAGGCAGTCCCACCACCACTCGTCCTTGCTGCAGGCCACCCCCTTGTCCTCATCCTCCTCCTTTTCGTAGGTTTGTGGTGCTCGCTTTCTCTCTGGATGCTCGTGGTGAAGAAGAATCAGCTTGCCCAAGATCAGCACCAAGCCCGGATGTTTGGACATTTCGGCATCATTGCCAGGCACGAAAGACAAGCTGCGGACGATGTTTGACACGCAGATGCAGCGCTTGGCCAGTGAGTCCTGCCAGTGCGCGATGGTGCACAGGGGAGTCTCGTCTCGGCTCCTGGGCTCATCCTCCAGCAGCTTGATGTTCCGGTGACTTTTGGCTTGCTGTATACCAAAGGGAAACTTACTGCTCTCAGTTTGGGGCCCAGGGTTTGCATCTTCAGGCAACGCCCCTGGCCGAGCAGACAGGACATCATCAATGGTTGCGATGATGCTTTTCTCTTGCTGCTCTTCAGAATCACTTTTGCCATCCTGCTCTTTCTTTCTACCCGTGGAGCTGACAGGGGGAGGAGGGCGCCTGCGAGGAGGGATTTCCATCTTGCTCTCGAAGTGCGTCTGGATGTGCTCGGTGGTGTCGCCCCCGCCGAGCTGCCAGTGCAGGAGGCCGCTGCTGAACTCCTGCACACGCCCCAGCTTGTCAGACCGGTCCACGACGAACAGGTTGTTCTTTTTGACTATCTTCACTGGCAGCCTGTCGAACTTACTAGCTTGCCTGGGCTTCTCCTTCGGGGCTGCGGTGGCGTCTGGGGTGCTCCCAGCAATGCTGCTCTTGTCATCGGCTTCGGTCTTCTCGCCGTCCAGCTCCTCCTCATCCTCATCAGTACACTCAGCATCTTCTTCCTCTTTCCCAGAATCGTCTGCCAACGACTGGCTGTCACCTTTCCTCACTGCATTGTGGTCAAGTGCTTTTTGGCTGGGGTCTCCCACTTCATATTCCATAAGAATTCCAAAAATATCAATCAGGCATTTCCTAAAGTACTCTACCAAAAGTTCGAGAAATCCAGACAACTAGAGAGGAGGAGGGGGGAGAACGAGAAAGAACAGGTGCAGTGTCATGACAGCGGCTGTGGCTGAGAAGGACAGCGACATGTTCTTATAACTTTTCACACGTTTTAATCCCTTGTTGGCTGGGTCATGAAAGACACAGTATCTGTCACTTACAACTAACTTCCTGAACTTTACTATGAACTAAACTGATGTTTAGCTTCTTTCTTATTTGCTGCTTACTTTTTCATGCTACCAACATCAAAACCGACTTTTTATTTCCATGTTTCTAATATTATCAATGAAGCACTTCACTGTTCTTTACCTTTTTTTCTAATTTAGATACAATACACCTGTTATTAGAGTTGGAGCGTGGATTTTATAGACTCTTTCACCCACAGTGACTCTGTTCTTTTCTATTATTTATCTCAGGCTTGTTTGCCAGGACTTTTATGGCTCTCCTTCTTTGGGTTTTATGGTTATTTTTGTCTCAGGTGCCACAGGTTACTCTAATTTACCTTCTCTCTATATCTTTTGGAGAAGATAATTTCAGCAATGTAGTAGCTCATGAACATTGAACATTAAAAACAAATCAATTTAGTCCCTGATAAATGAATTAGAATGTTTCGTAAGATGCAAGTTTACGTGTTAGTTATTCACAACTCTGGCTGAAAGGTAAAAGCTACTATGAGAGTGCCACTGTCTATGAGAACAGTTTTGTTCCTTTAAGCAAATGTTTATATCAAAAAAAGCCAATACACTCCATGTCGAGCAACTAACTGCCCATCCCCTCCCCCAACACACACCGCCTCACTTAGGGACTATAAAGAATAAGTAATAAAAAGGATTCTTTAATGATCGATGTTATGAATCAACCACACTTTCATATCAGTCCCTTGAATGTGGGTTTAGAGCAATTCCTAAGACGTAGGGGAAACTCAAGTACCGACTGCAGTCCCTGCTTTCAGGGTATGGAAGGAAGGTACGATTGTTCAAGTGAAAGTTTAGATAATTTTCCTCTCACCCTTAAAGTTTACTGTTTTCCCCAGGAGAAAAGGAAAAGTTAATAAAGCAATTTCGGTTATAAACATTTGTGATAAACAGCAGTTCACTCAAAACAAGGATGAAAGTTAATTACTCCAGCAAAGGCAGTGTAAGTTTTTTTAATACTTATTTTCTGTTAAAACAGACCTCATGCAATGTTTATGACCTTACTAATGTACTTTCTATCAATTGAAAAATCGCCTTTCTGGGCTATAACGAGAGAAGAAAGAGGAAGTAGAAGATTCTGGGCTTATTTCAACAGAAGCAAGGAAATTAGACCCTATAGCTTTGTTCACCAAAAGCAGAGAGTTGTTTATGCAACACAGGGAAAATAACCTTTTCTCATGTTTTATTTCTAAATATTTCTTCAAAAGCCTTTAGCCCAGTTGACTCCTAGGCATTTTTCCTAAACCTCACTTCTCTCTTCTAGCTGTTACGCTGGAAGCTACTTTAAGTCTAGCTCTGAACAAAGGAGGGTTTTAAGCTCAATGAAAGCAGTTGGCTTTTAAAAACGACTGCTTCAAAATAATCTGGAAAGTTGGCCAGGAGTTCATGACTATTTTAGCTAAATGATCTAAATGATAGGGTCATGGAGGTTCATTAAACTGTTCTCTCTACTTCTATATATTTTATACATTTTCTCTAGAATAAAATTTCTCTTTAATTAAAAGAAAGACGTCAAGTCCCTAGGAAAGTAGGGTAATATCCCGCTGCAACCACCTGTGTTTCCGACACTGACTACGTCATAACTTTACGTTGCATTTTGATTAATTCCCACTGGTCTGCTCATGTTCATTCTAAACAACAATTTAACTTTTCCTACTATTATCTATTACACACACACACACACACACACACACACAGATTTCTTATGAGAAATATAGGTACATGGGTGTACATATTCTAAAGACTGAAATGACTGTTATCCCAGACTAAATTCTCAGATAACTATATATTGATTAATGCTGGTTTATAACAACTACAATGATTAACTTAGGGATTGGTTCAAGCATTAGGCACTACTTACTTTTCTAATATTCTGATTTGGTCCTTAGTTGGATTGGGGCTGGCTTACCTGGGAGAGATTGAAAGTAGCAACAGTGCTGTCATCATAGAGAAGAATATTAATAGTGTCCAAAGCCCAAGTACTTTCAGCCAAAAGACCTGATTTAAGAGACATCATCACACGCCATGCCTCTGGAGTAACTAAATATGGGAAAAGACAAAGATATAATTAATATTAACTCTGCAAGAAAGGACAGAAAGCAACAAAAATATAAGAAAAACTTAGTTGAGTGTTGAGTTAAATTCTGATTTTAAACAAATGCTCTGAGGGACAGTTACAGATGGTCATTTTCAGATTTTAAATGGAGGTAATAAGCTGTGTTAGGAAACTTGTTCTTTAAGATCTTTTTGCTTCTAGAGGTGGGAGTGGTTAAGCACAAATGGTCCTTTCTCATATCTGGTTTATTTCTTTTAGACACCCAGAAGACTGTGTAATGATGCATCAGAGTTTTTTTTTTTCCCTTTTTGTCTTTTTTCGTGACCCGCAACGGATCGCAACCCTCAGTGTCGCGCCCGTACCAGGCCGGGACCAGCCACGGGATCGCAACCCTTGGTGTTGCTCCTGCCCCTCGCTCAGCCAGTGAGCAGCTGGTCTGTATGTGGGATCCGAACCCTCGGCGGGAGCGATGCATCAGAGTTTTAATAGTTGAGTCAAACCAAAAAGCAGTATTTGTCTTCCTTTGCCTTCTCCATTCACAAGTGTCAAGGTGGCATCTTTAGAAGGTTAGCAAGTACATGGAATATAAAAGAAAAATTTAAGTCCAAAAGAGCACATCCTCAGATATAAAGTCTTGATTTTCTCATGCTGTTTTCTTCTGTTTCTGTACTCCTGACCTCAGAACATGCTGTTGACAAATACTAGCATCCTGATGGTTCAGATTTTTCAAAAATGTGATCTGAGCCAAAGAATGACGAATATGAGGGCTGTATTTTTCATTGTTTTCCCTATTCCTCTGTCTGAAGAAAACAGAACAATCAGGTAACAAGCTTATGGGCAGGAAGAACAGACTCATCACATATCTGCATTTGCTACGGAAGGGTGGCGTGTGCTCGAGACGGCAGAGAAGACCTGTTCAATCAGACCCTGCCACGGTGACAGCTACGGTGGCCAGGAGGGAAGTTCTCCAGGTGTCAACAGTGACCTGCCGTGAGGAAGGCACCATGGCTTTTCCACCTTTATATTATCTATTTTTCAAATTTTCTAAGATAGGCATATGTTACTTTTATAATTAAAAAGTCAAACTTCCTTTTTAAGTAATATAAATTTCCCTAGGATGAAGACAAATATTGGTGTAATATGCAGTAAGGAATTTTTAAAGAATTTAAATACATTTACCTTTTTAAACTTACATATACACACATAAACATGCGAAACACACAAATACACATATATATTTTTCTATATATAACATATATATATATTTAAAATGTTCAGTGTCTGTCTGTATCTCTCTCCTCCTGCAATTCCCTCATATATAAAAAACTCCTTACTTTTTTTTCTCTGTATATCTCCTTAATGCCCAATGATCAAAAACATCTTTAATATCATTAATTTGACATCTTTAACTTTCTAATCATTGCAAATGATTTTTAAGTCAAGCGATTTTAAGATTTCAAAAAATTTTTTCTTATGCAACCAAGATCTATTATTTCCCTTGCTGTGTTAAAAGAAGTACTTCAAAAATAATGCAGAAAAAGTGTGTGTACTCTCATTCAGACCTTTACCAGTATTCAGACTACCCCACACAGGATGGACAAGCGACATCAGCAGTGGACTGGAACAGTCTCCGGGCCCACGTCTACCAGTGCTGTGCAGTCCCCTCAGCTCTCTGCGTGTCCTATCACAGCATACTCTACAGGTCATGTCATCTACCTATCTACATGTCAGATCCAGGCTTCTACTTTCTCCCAGGGAAATTCACTGTATGTTGTCACCAAATTAGAGTAGCTTGCCTTCAGATTTTCTCAAGTCACCTTCAGCATTTCATTAGCTCCACAGTGGGTCTGTTAAGCAGGCATTGCAGAGATTAAGTGGCTGGGTTAAGGTCCCATCTTTAAGCCCAAAATATAGTATATAATCACTCAGATTCCCTGATCTCTTACTAGCAACTCTAATCTCTCACACAAATAACATTCGCATGTAAAAATACCATTTTAATTCAAGCTCTTCTCTGGCACTGTTTCTTAATTTAGATTTTTGGCTTCCAACTATTGCTGCTATAAACACATATCCTCATAATTTACAGTCATAAGAATTTCATCCCTTTGAGATGAGCATGAACCATAGCTAAGCTAAAATGGAAGTTCTAGACTGCGACTAAGGGCGGGTCAGGAGCAAAACCTCTGGAATTCTTACCGATGTCTTTTGAGGTAATCTTTCGCCTTTGTTTCAAGACCGGCTGTGATGCCTCCACCGAACCGGGGGGGAAGGTGATCTCCCTTCTGATGGGTGGGGGCTGGGGGGGCGGCCCGGTGACTGGGGCCGTGGGGACTGTGGGCATGGCCTTCTGCATCTTCATGGAGGGCAGGAAGGGAGACTTGCTCGGCGACATGCGGTTTTCCAGGGAGCGCTGGAAGGAGGCTGGGCTGGGCGCCCTGGAGATGTGGTTTGGCAGTGACGGGGGCGTCTGGTAGGAGGACTGAGGCGGGCGTGTGATGGGCTGCATGGAGGCTGATGATGACATGTAAGGCTGACGTGGGCTGACGTGGGAAGGCCACTGGCTCTCATGGTTGATCCTCTGGTCGGGGACCATCATATCATCCGAGCGGTTCATGCCGGGGTATGGAGGTGCCTGCGCAGGGCCGCTCGGGCCCTGCCGGTTCTGGTAGGGATAAGGCATATCGTTGCGTGCTGCCCACATGTTCTGCTGAGGCCCTTCGCTGGAGGACGACTGCATCGGGCCACCCATCATCTGCGGGGGGATTCCGTGGGGCTGGATCTGCCCCGGGCCCTGCATCCGCTCTCGGCTGTAGGGGTACGGATACTGGCCCTGCAAGGGCCTCCGGTCGGGTCCCGAGTACGAGCTCCCGTACTGGTTGTACATGTCCTGCTGCTGGCTGCCATACTGCACGCTGTACATGTCCCCCTCGTGGCGCTTGGCTGGAGGCCCATACATGCCATCCATATGGCGTTTGTAATTCTGAAATTCACATAAAGACAAATCACACTGATGTGCTCTTATAGGTATCATCACACACATTTAAGTTATGCAAAACACTTACTACCTGGTGGGATGTTCATTTCAAAATGAATATGGGAAGCTCCTGTAACTCCCCAGAACTAACAATTTATGTACTAAAAATTATTTTAGTATTATGTGATACCACGTCACACACTCTGAAGAGGACTTCCAAAGTTTGTTTTCATGAGCTTGAGACTTCCTGTGGGAAAAATTAGCTTCCTCACCTTTGGTTACAAAACTGGGCCAGTTTGGCACTGGTGCCCACCACACAGGCAGGTGCTGGGCATGGCTCGGAGCCACACTAAGATGACACCAGGAGGCAAAAGTTTCAACCTTACAAGAATGTACTGAGGATTCTAGGGGCTGGCCTGAAAGTTCCTGGGTTAAATGGGTTCTCCTTCCACTGAAAAGCCTCCAGACAGGGTTTGGCTCCTCAGACGGGGTCCGAGCTACCTGCCATCCACCCCATGGCTCCTGCCCTGACTTCCAGCTTGTCCAGGTCACACTCTCCCATGAAAGCTCCACTGGTTCCAGCTCTGAGGACAGCACCTGCTACTAGGCTCTCCTCCTGGGGACATTCTGAGGACCAGGGCTTAACCAAGGTGGGTGAGAATCCCCTGGTGGGAGGCAGTGAGATGCTGATACTTTAATTAGTATTCTTTCACTTTACTTGGATATTGTTTATGATTAGTTGGTTTAATAACATAATTCACTGCATGTATATGCTCCAGCAAAATTATATAAATGTTTAAAACCTACCTTGTGATTAAAAATTCTAAGAAAAACAAAAATTCCTTTATTTTGTAAGAGATCTCAGACTTGAAAAGTTGTTCAGAAATAGCAAAATCCCATATATGTCTGAAAAGCCACTCCACGAAGTGCAAGTCTGTGCATCAGTATTGATAACTGCAAGGTGCGGGGATCTTACACAACTAAATGTCTCTGAGCTGCAATGGTTGCCTGTGAAACAGCACAGACCTAGGCTATTTGCTCAAAATATGTGGTCATTAACATCTTATTTTTAAAAAGCCAATTAACTTTCACTATTAGTATACAGTATTTTAAGTTGCTTTTTCTACATATGCTCTTTAAAACATTGACAAATTTCTGTTCTAAAATGGGTTTTGATACAATAGTGTATATAATAGACATGTATTTAAAATATACTTAACTCTAACTGGGGCTTGTTATTATATAGAAGGATTAATGTACTTAATATCTTATAATATGTTATATTTGTTTAAGGATACCTTTTATCAAGAGTTATTTTTAGTTTGTTGACTTCAAAATCCCAGGAGCACTTTCTACCACTAAATATATCTTGAATGTTCTATAAATGCCAATCATTTTTCTTACACTTCCTAAAAATCTTCAGAAGTAACACAAGTTTGCGATTAGCCTCCAGGAGACAAACAGAAAACGCAAAGATCCACACCCACTTGCCAACTCACCGGCTGCTGTGGATACAGACCAGGCTGGTGTCCTCCATACGGTGGCTGTCCTGAGGGAGGACCTTGGCCGGGATACTGCTGCCCATAAGGTTCATGCCTAGAATGAGGCATTCAAAGAAAACTTAATTTACAAAGGACTTCAGGCAAACAGAGAAATGAACAACCCATGTTTGGCAACCCTACCCCCTAAGTGCTTTGTCTTTCCGTCACTATGCCCCCTGTCCAGCAGACACAGTCCGAGCAGCAGCTGCACTGTAACTTTCAGCAGAAGGGATGGGAACACCCATCTCGGGGACGGTGCCAACCCCCGGTTTGGGCTGTTGGTTAACAGGTGTCAGAGGAATACCGGCTGGACAAGCAGGTACCCTGTAAGCACTTGTCACGGCTTTGGCTTCTGCCTTTGAGGTGGAAGCCCCACCCATCCACTGAAGTTTACCTTAGGAAGTGCCCTCCGACATGTGATGTGAGGCACTTGTGAAAGCACGAAGCAACAAAGGAGTCTGAGACTCAAAAGCAGTACTTCTAGAAGTATCAGAACATGGAAAATGTTTCTATTTTTCACTTTCTCTTTATGAAGAGAAAATGTTTAATTTTTTAAAGTTATACTTCAAAATTAATTCAAATAATACTGAGTTGCTAATAATTGTAGAGATACAAGTACTCAAAATTCCAAAGTTCTATGCCCTAAAAGGCTACAGAAAAGAATAACAGGGATGATTTAAATGTATTCCTATTAAATCTTAAAATGGAAGTGAATAATACAATTATTTTTTAACTACTATTATACTGAGAAATTATATGTACCATCAAAAACAGCATGTTTTAAAGGGCAACGAAAAATAAACTGGTTTAAATTAGTATATTGAATCTTGTAAGAAATAATTAGACTGAATAATATTTCTAAAGTGATCAAGAAATGAGAAGAAAAAAATAAATGAATTTTTAGAATACCACACGTGAGACAGACACAGGGCAAGTTTTTGCTAACTGCTTTGATATCTAGAAGGTAGCTTATTGTTAGGAGGAAAGAAATATAATTGACATGGATAAAATTTAAGCTGAACAAGTAACATTTTTCAGAAGAGAAACTTAACAATGAGGTAAGCCCCTCTTCTCTCTAATGTGGTAGAGCAAAAATAACTTTTAAACCCAGGCCACACGATGTTCTAGCAACCATTCTAGAAGAAACAGAAGCATGTATTTGCTTTAGGAATACATGTCCCAGAACAACTGCTCTCCTTTTAACCTCATCAGCCAAAAAACCCCAGCAGCTTTCCCTGGACCCTCAAAAACAAATCAAACCTACCTCCTTGACCCGGCACACATCACGTAAAGGTTAGCTTGTGATGAATGCAGACATCACACATATTTGTCCCATCGTGGCCAGAGTAAGAGTGAGGATGAATTCTTAAGTCACTGGGAGAGAATCCACACCACTCTGAACTGTGTACTCCCAAGAACCAGTCTCATACAAGACGCCAGGAAGAAACCTTATCTGTTAAACAGTGATTTTTCAAACTTCTCTCCTTGAATTGCTAAAGCCTCCCCAACGACCCCAGTATAAGGACTGATGCCCGGGGGGCAGCTCTGACCCGGGCAGCCCTGAGTGGAACCACCTCATCCAGGTTCCCCAGGAAGGGACCCCAAAGCCAGTCCTATCCTGAGGCTCGCCTGTGTAGCTAACATTAGAAGAAGGGCCTTCTATTGTGCCTCCATGTTTTCCCTTTAAAAATAATAAGTATTGGGCCGGCCCCGTGGCTCACTCGGGAGAGTGCGGCGCTGGTAGTGCCGAGGCCGCAGGTTCGGGTCCTATATAGGGTCCTATATAGGGATGGCTGGTGCAGGTTCGGGTCCTATATAGGGATGGCTGGTGCGCTCGCTGGCTGAGCGTGGTGCAGACCACACCGTGCCGAGGGTTGTGATCCCCTTACCGGTCACACACACAAAAATACAAGTATTATATTAAAACCTTGCTTCTAAGCATTTCTCTCATTGGGGAAGTAGAGAACACATCAACACAGGAAGGAGTTTTTTAATAAGTATCAAAGCCAGGGGCATCGGTGAGGGGACTTCATCACAGAAAAGTGCCTACCCTAAGCCACTATTTTAGGAAGTGGTTTTCTCTCGAGACATTTCAGTGACTTTTCTCGTATCCAATTAAAAACCAGTCTGGATCAGTCCAGTCCTGCAGACTATTGCCATTTTAATGTTAAGACGACTTCCTTAAGAGAGGCTCCAGAGCAGTAGGTTTTCTCAGAGATTTTTTTTTTTTTTTGTCTTTTGTCTTTTTCTGTGTCCGGCAACAGATCGCAACCCTCAGTGTTGCCCCCGTACCGGACCGGGGACCGGCAACGGGCTTGCAACCCTCGGCGCTGCACCCGCGCCTCGCTCAGCCAGTGAGCGGGAACCGGTCAGTATGTGGGATCCGAACCCTCGGGCGGGAGCGCCGCCGCGCTTCCCAAGCGGCGCACTTATTCAGTGCGCCACTGGGCCGGCCCTCTCAGAGATGTTTTTTAGGGAGCAAAGTATTCCCTCTCAGTTTAAAATGTTCACAGAGAAGAGCGATAGCATCTGAAAAAGCAATACCTGAAAGACCTTTCCAGAAGGCTGAATGCCCAGTGTGGCTACCACTGCACAGACCTTTCTCTAAGAAAGAAATGCAGAAGGCCGGCCCGTGGCTCACTTGGTAGAGTGCGGTGCTGATAACACCAAGGCCACGGGTTCGGATCCTATATAGGGATGGCCGGTTTGCTCACTGGCTGAGCGTGGTGCTAACAACACCAAGCCAAGGGTTAAGATCCCCTTACCGGTCATCTTTTAAAAAAAAAAAAAAAAAAAAGAAAGAAATGCAGAAAGGAGGGGGAGCCAGTGCTGTAAAAGCCAAGGGGTCTGAGCCACGTCTGGTGTCTGCAGCTGGGCGGTCTCACAGCGGTGACAGAGGGAAGCTGGGTGCTGGGAGGACCAGCCCTAGCTCTTGAGTTCTTAGGGAGAAGACTCCTGCCATGGCCAGACCAGCCCCAGCACATCTAATTTATGCTTCTGAGCATTTGCTTATACAAACACAGCTGCACCTGGCAGGGTGGGGACAAGGTCCTTCTCCCGGGTCCTGTTACAGCTGGGCAGCTATCTGACATTCACCTGGTGACCAGCAGCAACTGCCTCCTTATAACTCCAGCAGGAAAGTAGACAATGTATGTTGTTATTGGTGGCTCAGAAATGTGTGTGTGAGGAAAACAGTTTCTAGTAAATCATCTAATCTTCATCTTAAAAAATACTCACCTTCGATCATAACCAGCTCCATAGGGAAACTGCTGCCGCTGCCCCATGCCCAGACTGGACATTGTCCCAGAGGGACTCTGGTTGTACATGTCCTGCATGCTGCTGTTGGGCATCTGTCCTTGCGTCAGAAAGGGCTCGCTACTTCCAGGCACTACAATATTTTAAATAAAAGGCATAAAATTAAGTATTTCCTAAAGTCAAAGGGCCCATACATCCCTTCTAGTAACTATCTTTGTACTTATATCTTATCGTTAATATGGCAGACCACAATACTGATGAGAAAGCACAAGATCTGGAGTCAAGATAGGCCCTGTGGGGCAGAATTCTAAGATGGCCCCAAAGATCCCCAACCCTGGCATGTGCCTTGTACGAGCTGCTTCCCTTGAGTGTGGGTACAACCTGTGACTACAATGGGATATTGCTCCCATGGCTATGTTACGTCACATGGCAGGAGGGATTTCGTAGACGTAATTAAAGTTACTAACTGTGAGTTAACTAGAGGGAGACTAGCGAGGTAGCCCTTCAAATCTGGGTCTAGAGGTTAGAGATGGAGAAATTCAGGGACCTTCTGTTGCTGGCTTGAAGAAGCAACTGCCACAGTGCAGAGAGGACCACATGCTGGGAAAGGCGGGTGGAGGACAGTCAGCAAGGAAATGGGGACCTCGGCCCTGCAACCACAGGAAGTGAATTCTGCCCATGACCTGGAAGAATGTGGCAGGGAACCCTGAGCCTCCAAGGAGCTCGCAGTCCTGGCCAACACCTCGACGTCAGCCTGAGAGACCCAAGAGGCCCCAGCCATGCTGCGCTGGCCTCCTGAGCCAGGATACGGTGAGGGCGCACACTTAGGTTGCTTTAAGCTGCTAAGTTTGTGGTGACTTGTTACGTAGCAACGTAAAAAACTAATACAGGCCCAGATCCGTTACGTATTGGGGTAAGTTCCTAACTTCTAAGTTTGATTCCTTGTCTATAAAATGAGGTCAGTGATACCATCTCACGAAGTGTTTGTGAAGAAAACATGAAATATGTATACAAAGTTAGTTCTCTTCCCTTACAGGAAAAAAAATTAGAAACCTTAACATGAACCCTCATCCACCAACTCACTCCAAAATCAGGATAAAGAAAATTACTAGGGAGTTAAGAATAGTCAAGACCAAATGAGATACAACTATTTCTAACAGAGGGTAGAGTGCCAATTAGGTCATATATGCAAATTAGCATCCACTCAGAGCCTGAGGAAATTAGGTCAAGTCCAGAAACTAGCCTGTAGGCAAATTAAACATTTTAATATAAATTTTAACTGATTTATAGTACTATTACCTTTCTTCATCCTGTGAAGGTACCTTAGATAACAGGAGGCAAAAGCTGATTAAAACCTTGTGTGAGCTGATGCGTTTTGTTAGGCTGGCAGAGAGGTGCAAACAATGCAGCCTATGCTGGTGTTTTCACCTATTTTAATCTGTCTGACACCAACCTGGGGTAAAGTCAGTTTTCAGGTTACTTACTTTTTTTTTTTTGGCTACTTTTTCATATGCATTTTATTTTTTTTCTTTTTGGTTTTTTAAATGTGTGTTTTAAAGCAAATACAAAATCTGCATGAGTGGCATCATTAAAATTAAATAGCTGAATTCCATAATATACAAAGAATTGTTAAAAATCCACAGGAAAAAAGACAAGCAAATTCAAAATGGGCCAACACATAAATGGACATTCATGGAAGAAAAATAAATGGCCAACCACCACATGAAAACATGTGTGAGTTCACTAATAATTAAAGAGAGCCAAGTTAAAACAATTATGAGACTTTTTTCTTTTGGCCAATCTGATTGGCAAACGTTAAAATGACTGATGATAATCATTTTTAATAGGGAGGTGAGAACCTGCATAAAAGTATTAAATTAATATAACTTTTACTAATACCTGCTATAGGAGGCTATACTTTGGCAACCCCCAAAAAGCACATCCCCCATCTTCACAGCCTGTGAGGCCCCCTCCCACATTGACTCTGGCCTTGGTCATGTGACTAGCATTGACCAATGGGGCTCTTGTGAACGGGCTGCAAGCAAAAGCTTGTAAGTGCCTGCAGCTGGGGCTTGTCCTCTGGGAGTGCTCCTTCTTGGAACCCATCCGCCACGTCGTGGGTACCCGAGAAGCTACATGAGGGGCTCACTGAGGAGGCCCCTGCCAACAGCTCCACCAGAGCTCGCAGTAGAGCCTCTAAGTAACAACAGCCCCTCAAGAGACATCCCAGCTCCAGCATCCAATTCCTGCTTCCAGATGATGGCAGCCACCTCAGCATCCCAGCTGATAAACACGGGGCAAGGACCATCCCGTCCACCACAGAATGTGAGACATAAATAAGTGCCACTGTTTAAATCCACTTAGTTTTGGAGTAGTTGCTACACTGTAAAAGATTACTGATATACTTAATAAACTAAAAAAGAAAAGTTACTATCTATTGATTCAACAATTCTACTTCGAGGAATCTATTTCACAGAAACGCTCTTACAAGTGTGAAAAAATAGCTACACTTCAACAATCAGTGCACCATTGTTTATAACAGTAAAATATTATTAAACAGCACATCCATTACTACAGCATTAGAGTGCATCTATTCAATTAAAGAGTTAGTAGAGCTATGTGTACAGATACTAATACATATTAAAAATATACTGTTTAAACAATATATAAATATTATGTTTGCTAATATGCGATCAATCAATGCCTCGATCAGTAAAGCAAGGAAACAGGAAGGTGGGCAGGTGAGCAGGCAGGTGAGCAGGCAGGTGAGCAGGCAGGTGAGCAGGCAGGGCCAGGCTGGTCAGGGCTCCTGGATTCACTGCACTACCACACTACAGGTTAACAGTGACACAAGCAGCAGCAGCAGCAGCAGCAACAAAAACGAAGAGCATGTTTTCCAGTGATGTTGGTCATTAAATAAAAAATCAAGTTCACTGACAGAGTAAGGCAAACTGAAGAATGGAAAACTTTATTTAGAGCAGGAATAGGGCCATAAGAAAATCAGTTTCCTGTGGATTTTCTGTGTATCTGCTTTAATTTGGTACTAAATATACCCATCTGGTAAGGCAGCAGGGGAGCTAAAATCTACAATGACTAGTATGAGCCATTGTATCATTTACATGGCTGATGAAAACACATTATCTATCTACCTAGTGCCTAGCAAGGTAACCCCACAATCATTCCCCTCACCCCCAATTTATTTTTGTAAGAAGACAAATTATCAGCATAAGGAAATAAGGAAAATACAACTCTAGTTGTCTAATATAGCTTATAGGTGGGATATTGGAATGGTTCACAGTAAATTTTGAGGCCAGATTCCAAATATTGCTAATTATTTTTTTCATGTTATTGTCATATTTTCAGAGTGTAAAAATGGGATACAGTCACCAAAATCACTAACAAAATATTCTATCGAGCATCTCATATTACTAAGAAAAATAGCTAACGTCTTACATTCACAAAGCTTTTGAATTTCTGAACTTACAGATTTATTGAATGTTCTGTAAAATCTTTACTTGGAATAAGCAGCCCTGAAACTTTTGAAAGGAAAAATTATAGATTATCTTGCTTTATGTAACAGTTACCTGAAATATTATATATGAATATATATATAATAGTATAAATTTCATTTGTTAAATGGTATATACCCAGTTCTGAAATTTCTGAGATTCGTACTTTTTATTTCTCATTGGCTCATAATATTTGTGAAAACCAAGGCTTTGGGCTCCATGCTTCTCTCCGTTCAGACAATACAACAAGACATGCATTTACCCCAACATCTAAATACAACACAGGTACTATTATTTGGGAGACTCCAGAGTAAGTATTTCCATAAACATATTATTCACTATTTTTTTTTCGTATTTTATTTCAGTAATATTCACATCATTCCTCAATTTCACAGGACACAACTGCATTTGCAAGAATGCCAAAAAAGCAAAAAATCAAGTTTCATTTTGCAGTCTTTTTGCCATGTGAAGAGCTAAAAGGGCCACGGCTCTGAGAGCCACAACCTCAATGAACTCAACCTTATGGGGTTAATGAGCATAAAGGAAAAAAACAACTTAGTGTTTCCTATTGTCAATCAGAAACTCCCCTATACCTTCTCTCTCAATGATCTCATCCATCCTAGGGGTGTGGATACCGTTTCTACTCTTAGTACTCCAAAATGACTCCTAATTCCAACCTCTGCTCAGGTCCAGACACTCCTTGCCACCTTGGGATATCCCAAAGTGACTCTTGACTTCCCCCATCTTCTTTCCCAGTCGTCCACACTGCAGGTAGTAACTTCATCACCCTCCCAGTCACATTATTTGGTTCTTCTTCCTTATCCCCCACGTTCAATCCACCAGAACCTCCAAAGAACACAATGGATGGTTTCTCTCTCTACTGCCGGTGTCCAACTCCAATCCGTCACCTCCCCTAAACCATCGCAATGGTCTCCCCAACTCGACTCTCACCAATACATTCTCCGTGACACAGCCAATTATTTATTTATTCAGTTTCTATAGTCTAGTCATGTCACTTCCCTTCATAACATCTTTTGCCTAGAGGAGATACTCCAACTCATCAACATGCCCACAAGGGCCAAAAAGCTCTAGCCCCTGCCGCCCGATGCTCTCAGCATGCTCACTGTGCTGCAGGTCCCTCTCACCTCCTGGATCGTGCCAAGCTCCTCCCGGCCCCAGGGCCTCCCCTCCCTCTCACTCTGTAGGTCTCTGGATAACTGACACCTCCCCATAGCCCTTCCCTCCTGACCCCCCATCCCCAATCTAAGCAGCTTTCTCTTCCTCCCACTGCCCCCAACCCAATATCACTGCTATTTGTATTCTTTCTTCCTTTTAGTTTCCTTTCTTCCACCACCACAATGTTTAATTACATACTTGTGGTTTAATTTATTTGTGTTTGTTTCCCAAGAGTCTGTTCATTCTATGAAGGCAAGGACTATGACTGATTTACCAACATACCACCTAGCACCTCTCCTGGGCTCATGCCAACAAAACAGCAACATGCTCATGTGCAGTGACACTGGGAGCATGCTTGCCAACCATTTGTGCAAGTCACCCTTCCATGGGCTTTATGTGCATTAACTTAATCAATCCTCACAATGGCCTTTGAAGCAAGTCCTATTATTTTCCCTTTTCTAGATGAGAATAGTAAGGCACAGAGGTGCTAAATACTTTTCCCAAGGCCACAAATTTAGTACGTGAGGGAGCTGGGACTCCAACCCAGGCAGCAGGCACTCACATACATTCTGAATGCACAGGTGAACTGGTTTTCAAACAGCAGAGAGAAGAGTGTCTCCTCTGCATGTACCTTTTCTCATTCCACTGAAGGGGTCCTTGTTGGGTTCATAGGGCATCCTGCCCATCATATCTGGCATGCTCATGCCCTGCTGGTACGGGGCGTTCGGAGTCATAGAGTTCCGTTTTGGGAACGATGAATCACTCACGTCTGAGAATGGATCATGCACACTGATTGTACTGCTTCTGAAAAGATGCAAAAACATGAAAGCTTAATGATATGGCAGAAGTTATCTCCAAACACTGTGCTCAGAAAATAAACCAATCTTGAAATCTGTAAATGCAAAAACCATTCAAAATAAATTACATAAAAAAAACTAGTAGTAATTAATGCTTAAAAACTCTACAGAACACCATTTCTTCTTTCTATGAAGTTTAGGCTAGAAAAGTAAAAGATAAGCAAATAAGATTTTGCATGGCTGACAGAGTTCTTTGAACATACCTTCCACCTTGTATTGAGGTCATCTGTCCATGTGGGGTAGAGGCTGGGGTAGGTGGCTTCAGGTCACCTGGCACCTCTGCCATGGAATTGCTGCCAGTTGACTGGGGGGTCTGGGGACCTTGCAAGGATCCTGAGTTAGCTGATAGTACCAAGGGAAAATGGGAAAAAAACTAGAGGTTAACAAGTAAGCACATCCTTGCTAGTTAAAAATTAAAATAAGATGCCATCTTATTAGAAATAGTAACAATATCCATTGCTGATAATGATGTAATAAAATTAGTTGCTTCTTAGATTGTTTATAGTGAAAATCAGTAACAGTTTTTTGAGTAAACTATTTGGCAACATACTTCATTTGTAAGCCATAAAATATATTTTTACCATCTGACTAGGTAATTGCTTTCCTGGGTGTTTATTCCAAGAAAATAAGCTAATAAAAAGAAGGCTTTAGGCAGAAAAGTGCTTATTTCAGTGTTGTCTATACTGAAGATAATCTAAATGTAAGTAAAGAAAAATGGAATAAAAATTTTGGTACATCAGTTTGAGAGACTATTGTGCTGCTTTAGAAAAAATTTAGAAAACTTGGTTCTGGGTCTTAGGCAATGAGAGATGTTTAAGTCGAAAAGCAATGATACAAATTAATAATGATCCTTATGTCATTTCAATACCTTCTCAACATCTGAATGTGTCTATGTTCTGTCATTAATAACACAGTCATTTTTTGATCTATGACAGATTTATTATTAAAAAACACAAGTAATACTGGTTTGAATTTCTTTACTGTTGTTATCAGAGCTCTGAGATTCGGCCTTAACTGTAATTACATTATAATAACAGAGCTCAGAACTGAGCAGCATTTTTCAAGACTTAAGTGGGATTCTTAAAAAAATTAATTAACCTCACCTTGCAGGAAAAACATATTTTAAGAGCTCCTGCTTTATCATCTATCACAGTCCTTAGCAAATTAGATGTTTTATAGATATTGGTTTCACTTATTAACTAAATACTTTGGATGAATAATGTACCTCCTATATTCTAGGCTCTTTTCTACATCTGGATATACCACTGTACCAAACTAACGAGAAAGACAAAAGCCCCTGCCCTCATGGAGTTTACAATAAATAAGTTCAGGACTTTAACAAATGGCAGAATTACTGCTGCCTGTCAACAATAACACGTTACAAGCTATTGTTTATACTTTCCTTCCTATGAAGTTCCTAAGACTACTTACAATGACAACTATTCACATTTTACTTTAGAGGAGATGGAGGTTAAGCAAATCACTAGAGATTGCAGAGTGAACTGTGAAGGAGTCAGATATTGAAATGAATGTGTCACTTCTACTCAGAAAGCCTCAGCTGACACAGATATTCCCAGCCAGGTCAGGTCTGCACAGCTCCTGGCTGATTGGAAGGACACTGGCCAGCAGAGCTATATGTCCTGTGGGATGTCTGCCCCCATGCGCCTCGAACTCCAGTGACTTACAGATGTTCTCGGACATGCCAGGAAGGCTGACTTTTAAATATCTTAAGAGAAAAACTTCTTAACTCATGCTTACAAACCAAATTTTGGCATTAACCTGGCAATGCATATTAGAGAGGTAGATTAAAATTAAAGAACGTAGTCTTCTACATGCACATGAAGATAATCCTACAGACATGACTGCCTCATAGCTCTGTGGATGAGAAATAATTTGCTACTAAAATCCAGGCACAGACTCCACACTAGCCTGGAAACCTTCCTTAGAAACACAGCTCAGAAGGCTATGATTTCAGAATGACCCTTATTTACAAATTTTCACATTTACAGCTAATAAAAAAGTGGAAAAATTCTTCTCTCTTGCCAGTGTTTTTTCCTTTCCTTTCACACACACACAAAATGAATGCAACCTCTTTCTTGCAACTCCATTAACAGAGGAGGCTGGCATGCTTTCTAGGACACCCCTGCCTTTTGCCAGAAGCTACAAATGTACACTCTAAAGTAAACAATGGAAAGGTTACTGAAGGTTAAGTACATCGGCACACTTCAGACGTACAGCCCGGCTCCTAGCTGGGAAGATAATTTACACAGCATGAAGCTCGTGCCCTGGTTCTGGAGGGGTTGTGGGAAGGAGGGTGGGACAGGGAAGAAGAGTGGATACATCTCAGGTCTGCAGTGACTGGAGGTCAACCAGAGGGCACCTCTGTTTATAACCCAAGCCCTTTCTTATCTATCTTCCACTGAGGATTCCCTGGTTGGATCCATGACAGGTTTTGTGACATCACCTGTCAGCTAATAATAGAAATCCAGCCAGCCACCTCCCAGCAAAGACTGATGGGTTTTTGGTTACAGACTTAGTAAATGAACGTGGAGCTTCCCTGCCCCTCCCATGGCCCCTCCCCGCCCTGCTGGGTCTCTTCAACTCCCCTCCCCCACTGCACCTTCCAGGCTTTCACTAGACTCCTCCACCAACTTCCATAGGTTTGTTATAACGACGTCCCCACTGGTACCTCAAAGATGCAAACCATGCCCCAAGACCCTGCCTAGGTTCACACGGGAGCCTTCCTTTGCCGGCTTGCACTGGTGGCGGCAAGAGGGGAACTGGGTGTCAGCATGAGCAGCCCACAGCCACTGCACAGCGACCACTGAGTGCAGCCCCAGAGGCTTAGGGGGTTGGGCCTCCCCGGGGTTGATGGAATTAGAGTCTAGCCCCATATCAGCCACATCCAATCAAAACTAGGCTAGAGACAATGACTGGTATGCTCCTAGAATACAGCCCAGCTGGATGATTTAGGATTTCAGTTAGTTTGTAATGACCACTGGAAAAAAAATCTAGAATGTTTTCTGGGAATCTTTTAGTTTAGTTTGCTTGGATGTGCTGGTAAGGAATAAACTACAATTATCTTCTTATGGGAAAATGTGATTTCAAAGAACACAAATTTTTGCTGAAAATTAGTTTTAAAAGTTTTTGTAAAAAATGAGTCCCTTGGGCCGGCCCGGTGGCGCACTGCTACAGTGCGCCGCTTGGGGGTGTGGCGGTGCTCCCGCCGAGGGTTCAGATCCCACATACAGACCAGTTCCCGCTCACTGGCTGAGAGAGGTGTGGGCGCAGCGCCGAGGGTTGCGATCCCGTTGCCGGTCCCGGTCCGGTACGGGCGCGACACTGAGGGTTGCGATCCGTTGCCGGACACGAAAAAAAAGACAAAAAAAGGAAAAAAAAAAATGAGTCCCTGACATGGCAAATACGAGTGGCATTTCAAAAAGTTCATGGAAAAATAGAAGTAAAAAATAATACAAATATTTCCATGAACTTCTTGAAGTACCCCTGTAGCTGGGAATAATTTTATTTTCCTTCTCTGACAATAAAAATGTTTCAGAGATGCCTTCCTTAATGACAGTCTGGAAATTGTGAGGCCACTTGGTGTGTGGACAGCCGTGAAATGAAGGCTTGATCACAGAAGTTGCCACTCCCTGCCCCAACCTGTCCCTTTACGTGTCCGGAGGACTCTGCACGGTGCTCTCTGGGCTGGGCCCCGCCTTCATGTCAAACCCAGGAAGCTTTCCCTCCACTACCTCCTGTGTCACAGGACCTTGACTCCACCTCGACTACTGAGCAGAATGTATTATTAGAAGTGCATCTGCTATCCAAGCTCTTTTGTGCAGTTAAAATAATAATGTTGCCATAAAAACAGCAGTTTAAAAAAAGAGAAAAAGGAAAGGGCTGCCTGTTAAGAGCACAGGCCTTCCACTTTCTGAAGGATCTATGGCTCAGTGGGGCTTCCTGTACCGAGGCTGATGCACGCTGGGAGAGCTATTCTCCACACACAAGTGCAGACCACTCAGTGACACAAGTTCTTTCCTGGCAAATAAAATATCCGCTCAGATCTTTGCAGACACCACCACTTTGGTCCCTACTCCCCACTGGGTTTTTATTTTGGAAAAATAGTTTCAGAGCTGTTCACAGGCAGCTTGTTTTACTCTGTGAACTGAATGCAATGTTGTGAGATTTTTAAAATTAGATTTCCCAGTTTTTAAGGTACACTCTAAGTGGCAAAGGCTTCAAATCTTTAAGGGTGGGGTTAGGCAGGAAGATTTCCACTTATACTTAGGACCTACATATCTAAAGCTAGGTATATTCAACACAAGTGCACTTGGGGCCAAAAAGAATTTGTTTGAGATTCCTCGATTAGCAACCTTGGCTATCAGCTTTGCCATCCAGACAGCAGCTAGAAGAAATCATTAGAAGGGAAATGACTTCTCTCTCTGGGTTCTACATGTGAACATTTCACCTGTTACACAGGAATCTGGTGGGGATGGTGCCCACTCTAGAGCCAGATGCCTAGGATCAAACATTCTGCCTCCAATCATGTGGCTCTGGGCAAGATTCTACGTGCCTTCGTTTTCTCAGGGATTTTAAAACAGTATCAGTATCATAGGGCTGAAGTAAAGATGAAAAAAAAAGTGCCTGGCACATTGCAAGTGCTCAGGACACAGGTGTTCTTAGCTATGCTCAGGACAAGCTATGCGACGGGAGCAGCAGGTGCAGCCCCCCTACCTCATTTGCAGGGACTGGGAACAGCACAGCAAAGTTAGTTCTGGGCAGTGACCTCACTCAAGTAAATTCGACCACTGTTTTATCTGTTTCTGGCCACTGGTCATTACGGAGGCCACTTCCAAGTCCAGTGAACTTGGCTACCAACTTTGCCATCCAGACAACAGCTACAGGAAGGCATATAGAGTCTAAGTACCTGGCCCAGAGCCACATGGTTGGGAGCAGAAAGTTTGATCCTAGCTACCTGGCTCTAGAGGGGATGCTGTACCCACCAGACTCCTGCGTAACAGGTGAAATGTTCACATGTAGAAGCCAGAGAGACAAGTCATTTCCCTTCTAATGATTTCCTCTAGCTGCTGTCTGGATGGCAAAGCTGACAGCCGACGTCACCAGACTTGGAAGTGGCTTCTGTAATGACCAGTGACCAGAAACAGATAAGACAGTGGTTGAATTTACTTGAGTGAAGTCACTGCCCAGAACTGAGAATGATGCCAATTTCTTCCCACCTCCAATACTGCATCTGAATATACGATTTAGTAATTTCAAATTTGAAACCCTGACAGGTAGAACAAAGGCTAGCAGGAGAGCTCGAAAGAATGGCAGGGTCTCCAATCTGGAGAGGTGGACAGGTAGGGGAGATGGCAGGTATCACTGATGTGGTTTTGCTCACAAGCATTTAGGTGAATCACCATCAGATCTATTCCTAAGACCCAGAAATAGTGCTGTGTGGATGTTTACCATTGACAGTTTGCTGAATTCTCTAAAAGTGGGAACTTGCTGGGCAGGGAACATTTAAAACTAAGTCCACATTTCATTTTGCTAAAGAACAAATCTGAGTGTCCCTGACAGAGGAAAAGCTGGCACAAGCTAGGTGTTCAACTTGCAGGGTGGTATTTTCCAGTAGTGCAAAAGTATTAAAACAGGTTACTGGGGATATTTATTTTGTACACAGTTAGAATATTTTTAAGTACTTGTATAAGGAATAAAGACATATAGCTCAGAATTCCAGTCTATTTTGACTAAATAAGGGAAAGCAAAAGAATGGTGCCTTCAAAATGCTGACCAGAAAGGGCAACATCCCAAATTCTCTTTTCTTTTCCCTTTAGCACTGGCAATAGGGGTCCAATTAAATAAACAAACCAAAAAAACCACAACACACTCCGTCCTCTGAAAGACCCCAAGCACTCTCCTTGCTTTGCTATGAAGCGACCTTCTGAGCCTCCTGCGCCTGCCTGATGTGGTGCCCTGGGCTCTTCCAGCCCCAGCTGTAGCGCTGCCACTTACCAGGAGATGGCGGCTGGAGCTTGGGCTGCTTCTTAGTGTCCCCAGTGCTGAAGACTTCCGGTGGGGGCTCCTCTCCTCGTTCGATCTTGCACTCAAAGGCAAAAAGGTACTGAATATACTGCTTTTTCAGGGAGCTTGCTGCACTGCTAGAAGTGCCAACATTTAGGGTGGTTGCCAGCTCACGCCACTTCTTGTTTTTATTAACCTAACAAAAAAATGGCAGGATCATTGGTTTGCAGCAAAGTGGCTTGTTTAAAGCCAGGAGACCAAAAAAGCACTTAATGTCTTGGTTTACTTTTTTTCATTTGCCTCTTTTAACTAATGCTCATTACTCCCACTCAGTAGTGCACAGACAGCATTTACAGTTATAAAACCATTAAGGAACCTGCTGATAGCTACACAAAAAGCACTGCTCGATGAGGTCCTTCTGCCCGCTGCATCTCCTAATGCCACACGCTTCCAGAGCTGGTGTTGCATGGAGCCAGCGATTTCACTCTGAGCAAACATACGCTCCTGCTCACGCTCATCCCACCCCACCTCTAATTAAGAAAAAAAAGGGCATCTAAAAAACTAATTTAAAAAGCAATAACAGCACTATTTTGCAATTTAAGTGTTTGAGCACTGATATGAAAAACAGTGTTTCCTTCCAACAGCCACAAGCTCCCAGAGCGAGCCTGTCATTCTGGGCCTGCATCCATTGTCTTCTCACACAAGACTTTCTTGTGGTGTTGGACAATGGTGGCCCTGGTGCAAAGGCAAATGAGGCCCCTTGACTAAATGCCCCCAACTTAAAAGCCTGGTGTGATGCCACAGGCCACTGACTGGGCCCTGTGAAACGACCTGCTTAGCAGGTGTGGCAGGGTGCCATCCTGTGTGCTCACACTTAGGCTGAACACAACATAATTGTAAAACAGAAGAAGAGACAAGAGAGAAATCCTGCAATGTTACACACGAGGCATTATCTTAACTTTCTGATTCCCACTTGGGAACAGGTTATGACAGGTTAAACACATGCACACAATTGAAGACCTGCAAATCACTAGGGGAAGGTTTTGCCTTTTGATGTTGAATATTTCTGGGTTGAATGCTGGGTAAGGGTTAAGGTGAAAGTGGTTTTTAATGAAATATTGAATTTCTGGATTCAAACTTCTTCAGAAAACTCTTTATGCCCATTTACTTAGTACTAAATGGTACATAATAAACAAACCACGGACTGCTCACGGAAATGCTCAATGCTTCTTTGGGCACTTAATACACAGCAGCAAACGGCAGGCCTGTGGATTGCTTCAGAAATTGTGAGCAGAGTGCTGCTTGGGATGCCCTGAGATATAAGGCTCTGAGCTAATCTATGTGTGGCTGCAGCACCTGCGTCCAACCCCATCTGATGCCCAGCAGGCAGAGAGCAAGACAGGGCCTTATGAAAGTGCCCCCAAACTTCTCATCACAGTGTCACCCCACTATGTGCAAGCAACCCTCATCTGCTGAGCCAGCACACAGTCTCGTCTGAAGACCCGATTCCGTTATACACTGCACTGCTGTGATGGGCTTAGTGATTCTAAAAAATCTATGTCAGAAGAGTTTAAGTGTGGGGGAGGAGAGGTCAGGGGAGCCCAGGTGCAGGGAAGAAAGGGCAAGGGGGTCAAGGGGTGGAGGGGAAAGATCAAGAGAAGTCCAGGTTGGGGGAGAGAGTCACATGTCAATCATTCCCTCTGCTAACCACCACTCAAATGGGGTCTGCATCACACAACTTAGTATCTGATTATGCAGAGCCTTGACACAGCTCTAACTGTTTTAGTCACAGGTCTCAGTTCCCCCCTGGGATGGATTAGGCACCTAAAGGGAAGGCCAAGAATAAAGTCCCCTCCTGGATTCCCCTCTGAGTTGTAGCACTGAGACCACAGCATGCCTCCAATGATATTTGTGGATTAGATAACTTGACCTTGGGAAGTTAGTGACCGCCCCCACCCAGGGGGGTGCAGGGTGCCTCCTTCTGAATGTTTACTAGGCCCCTCAGGGCCCAGACAGTCTCATTTCATTGATCTCGGGTGGGAGCCTAGGTACTGACAGCTTTTAAAAGCTCCCTGGGTGATTCTAATGTATAAAGAGGCTCGAGAACTACTGGGAGAAGGGAAGAGCACATGTCTTGGGATCGGACAGTCCTGGCCCCACCAAATACACTGTGAGTGTCCCCAGGACACAGCATTATTGTACTTGATTTTGTTACCACAGCGTCCTCATCTACTCTTTGGGGCCACTGACCCTGCATCTTATGATATTGAGAAAGACAAAGGTCACACTGAGGTACTAACTTCCATGTTGGTACCCTTTCCACTTTTCTTCTACAGGACATGTCCACACCAACTAGACCCCTTGGTAAGGACTAAGGGCTAGGCTGAGGAAAGCATGATGCCTGGGGTACAAAATTTAAGGGGCACTCACTCTGAGAGTCACCCAAGCACACGGTGGGCTCTCACACAACCAGAAAATGAGTGCCTCCTTCAACCCTGCACCCCAGGCACCTTGCCTGTCCCAGGGAGACACAGCCCTGGCCCTCCCAGCTGTCCAGGTATTGTGGGCGAGGTTTTACAAGTGTGACTTATTTTCTCGATAAGCTGCTCTGGATAGAGGGAAACAGTCACTTTGATTTATATCTGATCTAGATAATTCAGTCATTTGCAAAATACTTCTGGAGTATTGGCTATGAACTGCTGGCAGATTCCAGAGAGTTCTAGAGCTGCCAGGAAACGTAAAGTAAAACTAGTCTACCTCATTTTACAGATGAGGAAACTGAGGTCCAAGTAAGCAACCTTTGCTGAGGACACATTGCAAGTTGGTGGCAGAGTCAGGGTCCCCTAATCCTCTTCCCCTATAGCACACAGACACAGGTCCTAGAAAGATGACTCCCACAGGCCTGGCTTTTCCTTTGTGAGAAAAAAAAAGCAGAGTACATACATCCAAAGAAAGCTGCTGTGAGAACCTATTCACTCATTCCTCACTCACTCACTCACTCATTCTTTCTTACCTGTGCCAAACCTCCGATCTCTTTGACGCAGACATAGAGTCGGAACAAGTCTAAGGGCTTCTTGCCCACTGCAGGCAGACTGGAGACGGGGGAGCCTCTCTCTTCCATGAAGGTTAGGTAGCGGTCAACCCAGAGCTTCCTCTCTGGCTCATTCCCCAGCTCATACACCTTTGTGATCTTCTCCCCAGTGGTGGTGGATGAGCTGGACTTCTAGTGCCCAGGAGCGTGTGGAGATGGGTGCGGGGGCAGAGGGAAGGGAAGAAGGTGAGAAAAAAGTAATGAGCTAACAAATACAAGAAGAGAAGAGATTAAAAAACTACTGCTATCACACAACAGTTAGGAATGAAGGCTACTAGTTCAGGCACAAACTATACATTTTCTTAATTAAGAATTTACTTTGACTTTAAATAAAGGGCCCAAACTCCCCCTTTTACATACTTAAAAAACAAAACCAAAAAACCTTTTTAATGTTGATATTAGCGTTGAATCCCAGAAGGCAAGATCCCAATGACACCTCATGTCATTTTAAAAAATAAAAGGGCACTAGCTCATAGAATGATTACAATGAATTAAAATTAAGGGGCCCAAAAAACTAAATGGATTCCTGCTTTTCCTTGTCAAAATAAGAATGGCAAATGTGTGTCTTCATTAAAACTCTAATTCACCTAGAGGAAGAGCAAACCAGTGGTGTCTGCTGAAAGATATAAGGTAGGTCACGGACCACAGGCACCAGAGGTGTGGGTGCTAAGCTCGTTTGAGAGCTTTACAAACTTATGGCCAGCAAAAGCTTTGGCATTTATTCTCAATGACCAGCTTTTCCTACTTAAGATTTCTTGAACTTCTCTGTCAAGGTAAGAGGCTGGTACATAATTATTTTAATAAATTTCTTTACCTATTCCTTTAGAACAGATTAATAGGATCCATGCATTAATCATGTGCTGTATCATTTCCCCAGCTTATCTGTGCGTAAAACATATACATTAACTCACACGCACATGTTTATGTGCTCATGTGGTTTAATACTGATGCTCCAATTCCTTGTCTTTTATGCATCTGATGACACCTGATACTAAAATGTCAAAAGCTGCAGTTTCTGCACACCTGAAGCCCACCCTCTGGACTATGTGATCTGGGTAGGTAACACTTTTAGACATAAGCAGACCAACTGTATTTTATCCCTTTCTTTTGTATCTCTATGTTTATATCAATATTTGTATATTTGTAACATTTGCAAGGCCAGGGTTACTGTGCAAAATCATTTCTAGGTTGTCAATAAAGTTTCCTGTGGAATAATAATTTACTTCATTTGTTTATGCATATTTACTAGATTATCATTTATAATATATTTCCATTATTTTAGACAGAGCCCTTAACATTTTTTCCTTTCCTTTTTATTTATTTAGCTTAACATAATTTTAAACATACTGCTAAAATGTGGGGGGTTAAATAACATGATGGCAATTGAAGTTAGATGCTATCTTGTTTCACAGGATGATCCCCAGTAAAAGTAGGGGTGAGAAAGGATGCCTGAGAACGGACTTAAGAAGCTTGTGAAGTGACAGCTAACATGTAATTCTAACTAACATATAAATTCTCCAAAGCTATTTTGGCTAAAATTTTAAGTCTTCAGCTTTAGAATTATTGAGGCATAAAATCTTTATATCAAATATATAAAAATGGGTGATACAGTTGATGAAAATAAAAACATGGAATGGCAGGATAATAAAGTAGTGTGATCTTGTAGAATTTACTTTGGTGTGAGTTTAAACTTCATGTCAGTTAAAAATTACTTTCGATAAGAACCTAAAAAAAAAAAAAAATATATATATATATATACACACACATATTCATAAAGACATGTGTCTACACACTCATATATACACTCAGTTTTTAAATTTTATTTTCCTTATTCATATACCCAAGGAATTATTTGACTAGGAAAAGAAACTGTTTTAACACACTTTCTAGCAGACTCTCATACTGATAAACTCCAGATGCTTTGCAATCCTTAATAGTATAGTTATTATTAGGTTTTCAAATGTTAGTATTAATTTTTCTTTTCTCTTGGGGAGGAAAAAAATGGGTCCAATGTTTTTCCAAGATGAATATTTGAATTAAGAATATAAGGAAAAGAATGTTATCACTTATAATCAGTTAAAAAAAAACCCTTCCCTCTTGCATTTCATTTGTGAAAAACTGAGAGGTAAAAGTTTGAGATCCAATTTTAAGATAAGAGAAAAAAAAGTTCTACCAGTTTCCTGAATATAAAACACGTCTGCCATTTTTGGCCTGGTCCTCTTTAAACCGAAATAGGGAAATGGTTTTGGACTAGTAGTTAATCATAAACAAAACAACGGGGGTGCAGAAATATTTGTTCCTATTTTTGAAAGGAGTGGATTCTTATAAGCTGAAACAGGCCCAAGTTAATGGTTTACTTATAGCTGGCCTATTTTAACTTTTCTCACCTTCCTTTGGTAAATAAACTGAAGTTTAGTCAACTTGTGCTTGTCTCAATTTGTTTTCATAAAATTAAAACAATTTAATAAATAGTTTTTAATAGAATAGTTTTATTTCTCATAATTTTTATATTTTCCAGAAAGCATTTTTATGGCACCATATAATGTAGGAAAATGCATCTGCATGTAACTGAAGCAGTCGGATCCTCAAAGAGGCCTCCCCGGGGCCTGCTCGCTAATCTAAAGCAGGGCCTCCGTTTTATTCCACCAGCACACACTTTATATTTCCTATGCAGCACTTTGTCACACAGCGTGAAAAACTGTGGGTTCTGCATGTGATTATCTTTCTGATGTCCACGCTGCTGACAGAAGTACTTCAAGTTCGATGAGGCAGGGTTCATGCTGATTTCGCATTGCCAGCAGTTAGCGCAGTGCCCTGCATGCTGAAGGTCCTCGCTAGATACTTGTTCTACAGCTGATTACTCAAAGGGATGAAAGTGTGAAAAGCCTGGCAGCATTCAAATAAGATTTAGCAGCTGATCCAAATATCTTATAAACAGGATTTCTATGAGCAAGGTGCCAAGTGAACATGGGGACCATGGGGCCGTGCCCACTGCCAGCAGTGAACATCTCCACCCCAGGGCACACTGTTAGCAGAGTTAGTACTTGGGTGTCTGAACAGAGAGAAACAAAAGGCTCAGTGAACGAAGAGCACACAGGTGCCACTCTCACCGCTGACCAGGCTTAACACAAACCGTCCCCAGTCACAGACACTGGCCCTGATGGAGTTTTGGGTGAATGTCTTCACTCTACACTCCATCCACTGGTGACGGGCAAACAAACTAGCCCTTCAGAAAGACGGGTCACTTCTCCTGGTCACTAAGGACCACCTCGTACTGCTTCAGTGTTGTAGAAATTTTATCCTATTGCTCTGAAACTTTGCGGAGGCAAGAAAAATGAATGGAAATTGTTGACAAATTACAGCAAGACATTATTATAGTGCCACAAATGTTTTCCTTGCATATACTTTAATTAAGCCTATAAGTGCATTCTCCTCAAGTCTTTTAGGCAGATTTACATTGCATCAGTCTCTACCATATGCCTGGTAATATGTGTATGTGTATGTGTATGGACAAATGTTTACTTTTATCTTGGAATATTTTGTAACAAAACCACATTGGTCCATACCCTGTGAAAGCTTTGAGCATCTTTATGATTTCATCTGTTCTAGGCCTGCTGTTAGACAGGCTTTACTAGGGACACTATTAAGAGCAACATTGAATACAAATTGAAGTGGGATCTCAGAAACATCAGTTAAATATTCCTGAATTGTATATATCTGCAGTGATTTGATTACACTCTCCTTTGGTCTCCTTCTTGAATTAGCATCTCATCCAAAAAAAGTGGCTGTGTCTCAATACCGAGCAACAGTCTAACATCTTCCACTACTGTGAACCACAGCTTCTCTTGTCCTTATCTACCACTGGAGCCAGATGTTCGCTGGTAACTTCTTAAACCTAAAACCGTTTATGATACAGGAAGAGACAATGTATATGGAAGTATTTAGAAAGCAGAGAAAATTAATATGCAATTTCAAATATAATTGAATTATAATTGGAAAATAAAGTCAACAATTCAGTTTGCTTTTTTCTTACATTTAACTAGAAAGGAGGGTTTTGGTAAGAGTTTCCTGCAGGACTCACTGGATGGAGATAATATGACTGTTAAGTTAAAATACAGTAACTCCCTCAATCCTTTATAATTCAGAGATCAGCAAGATGAGAGTTCTTAACATATGAGATAATCTATTAGTTTTCATTTTTAATAAATTATTACTATTAATTATTATCTTAAGTTTTAAAGATTATTTTAAACCTCTGAAATTCTCCCTCTGAGACAACATACGAATGCTTTTGAAGTTATTTGGTTTTTACCTGTTAACCTGAAAGCACTACTGACTCAAAAATGTTTTGCCTCTTAAAAAAAAGAAAGAAGGCAAAACAAAAAACCAGGGTAGACTACGGGAAGGAAACACACAACATTGGCTGCCTTCTGAGACTCAAAGCAAATAACACAAAGACACCAAATCAAGCGGTGCGCTGTCCCTTCCCGCCAGCCCGCTGCATCCACCTAGCGCGCCCTCGGTCCACCTGGGCAGTGCACAGTGGGAACGTGTCTACAGGGAAGCGAAGACCGAGTATTGCCCTTTCTTCCTCTGAGAAGGAAAATGCGGGTTATGCTAGAGCTCCCTGTGAATTTTACAAACATTTACTAGCACAACCGACTCTTCAAACCTTCTAGCTCTATCTGTTTAAACCAGTGAATGGATAATTAATAGCAGCCTCCTTTTGGGGTTTTGACTAGATTGCCAGGTTCTGCACAGTTAGAGTCTTCTTCCCTCCAACTTGCTTTTCCTGAACTGTGCTCTTCAATACATCGTCTTACAAAAATTAGCGGGTTAATTAAGCCTTCTTGGCAAGTAATTGTATGTTAAGGTTTTTTTTTCTTTTAAAACAGATCTTTTGATTCCCTATATGAATGTAAAATAAAGGTTCCTACAGCACCATTACTTTTTTTTTTTTTAAATGGCATACACACAATTAATTTCTTTAGTAGGAAAATAAAGGCCCAACTCTATGGTCCGACAAACATTATGACTAAAAAATTCCTTGATATGTACTTTACCGTATTTGTTATTTGTATATAATATGGAAATCAACACTTAATTTCAAGATTATCAGCAGTCTTGTACAGAATACAATTTTTCTATCTCGACTGATTCTAATGTAAGTACACATTATTAATCTAAAAATTCACATGCACTAACATTTCTACAATTTTTTGTTAATTTCACACCAATGAATTGAAAATAAGGCAGGGCTATTGTTATGATAAACTGCTCCCTGATTGTAAAATTTATTTATTTCAGATAGGCAGTTTTGAAATAAGACATTTCAGATAGAACAGCCCATGAAAAATTTAGATTAGATGCCAAACTTGTCATTTAGTCCATGGCTGCTATTAGTTCCCATGAAAATAGAGAAGTAACTCATTTTAAAAATCTCCCATAAGTGCACAATAGATTAGACATTTAAACAAAGTCACTGTATGAAGGAGTTTGGACCCAGAAACACAATCGCATGCTTTGTATAGAGGTGCTTCTTAATAACAGCTGTTTCATTACCAAAAATCAAGTTCTATGATGCACGCAAATTTTACTCATTTTGTTACTAATATGATTACTTATAAAGAAATCCTTTCATGGATAAATAATGAAGAAAAAGTCTTATAAAACAAATAAACAAGCAAGCATTAAAGTAGAATTAATTAATTATCAAAAAACCCCAGAAAAAACAAAAAACAAAAAACAAAAACAAAAAACCAGAGCCACTTACAGGGCTTGATGGAGTCTTTGGCCAGCCTGGGCTGCTAATGCTATCACTTTCATCTCCATGAAATGAGGAGATGCTAGCAGAGCTGGGGGACATTGGGGAAGGGACTGGCAGGTTGCCTGGGGTTGGGGGCTGAGAAATACCCTGAGAGGTGTAGCTATCCTGTGGTAGAGGAATAAAAAAAAAAAATGACAAAGGTAGGGCAAACTTTATTTAAAATAACAAAAAGTAAATTCAGTTTAACAGAGTAATTTTTTATATATCATAAAGACACGTACAAACAAACACACAAAAACACATATATAACGGTATTAAACAACATTCTTAATTAGTATAATTTGGTAAGTTTGCTGGATGCTGGATAAGGCCACTAAGCCACCATGCTTACTTCAAGCTTACATGGAATGCTAAGCATGGGTTACCCCTTATGAAAGAAAGAAAGGAAAAAAAAAAAAAGCTGTTCACCTTATTTATCAAATAAGGCAGGAAAGCAAAATATTAAGTATGTTGTTGTTGCTGAGGCGGCCAAAACAGGAAGCTATAAACTGAAGGCAGAGGAAATGGCTGCAGGTATCGAAACCAGGCAAGACCCCTTACTTCTCCCCACCCCCAAAGCATTTTTCTTAGGTGAGTCTTGTCCCTCCACCCCTCTCCCCAGCCATGAGTTAATGCCGTAAGAACTAGTAACTTTCAGATCCACGCCATGAAGGGGGTGGGGAAAGAAAAGACTACAAACATGTTGCACAAATGAAGGCATGCAGAAGAGGAGAAACTAAACGAAAAAAAAAGTGTAGGCCAACACCAGTGAAGAGGACAACATGGCAGCTTTTGCTAGGCAGACCCCACACTGTGTGCAGAGAGGGAGGAAGTACCTTTGACTTGCTCTCGGGCTGTGGAGTGCCTTCCTCCTTGCCATCTGCTTTGAGAGGCATGGGCAGTTTTGACTCACCAGGAGACATCATATCTGCAAGACCCATAGATGCTAATCGAAAATAGGAGAGAGAGTTTAGGATTATACATGTGAGTTGTCAGACTGAGCTCCTGCCAACACAAGTTACTGAGTGAAGCCTGAGGCCCTTGAATTTCCCTTGAAGGAAGAAAAGGAAAAGAAACTGTAACTTGGAGCATGCTAATTTCTGAAATCTAAACGGCACCACATTCTGGCATCCCATTTTTTATCCAAACAAAACAAAACCAAAAAATGAAAGAAAAAGAAAAAGAAAAAAGGAAAAAAAAAAAAAAAAAGGCAATCATTCCATATGCTTAAGACCTAAACCACTAGAGGTCAACTTATATCAATATTATTTTTAAAAAATTATTACAGCTTTAAAAGAGTAGGCAACGAGTGGAAATAAGCCAAATGTTTAAATTGCTCATCAGGTGTTAGAAGTCAATGCTGGATGTGTATATTTTTTACCTGGGTCCTACAGGATTTAGTGCCTTCTTAATTTCCTAAATTCAAATAATCTATAGTTTACAAAATCATTTGATACTTCATATTGTTTCACTCAAATATCTACTGCATGTGGTCTAGTCTACAATAAGGGAAGACAATCATAGCAGATGACTTCGAAAAAAATAATCAAAAATACGTCTTTGAAGGGAAGGCTTTCTAATTATTTTGCAATGGGATTGGTATCCTTTTGGTCTGGCACAGAGCCTCCCTACAGTCATCAACCCTCCACAGCAGCTCAACCACCCAGGTCAGACACCCACAGCAGCTCCAGGATCTACATCAAGTTTTCTATCTCTAGGTTCAGAATTCAGTAAACTCCACCTAGGCTCTTTAGAATTAAATGTTCACCAAAGAACAACTGATTTATACACATTTATTGCAGATACTAATAGACATTTTCAGGTTAAAAATATGGGTTTAGATTTCTTTTGAAAGGAAGAACAAGGCTACAGTCGGGAATCAGTGTAGCTATCCAGGGAGTAACAGCTGAATGTCTACAGAACCCCACTGTGAAAACCATCTGCACAACACTGGCTGCAGGGAGACACCAAGCAGATGTGTGAAGAGTTGGAGTGAGGAAGAGAGTGGAGGAGAAAAAGGAGGAGGGAGAAATGAGTAAAAACCAGAAAACATCCCTACTTCAAAATAAAATAAACCTAGGTCCTTATGAACAGGACACATTTTACATTCTGTGAATCAAAGTGCTGGCTCACCAAGGCAGGACACATGCAGCATAATGTGCCAGGGGGGAAAAAAAAGCTTTAAAAAAAGCTCCACAGATTGCCCACTACAAAATGATTATTGCACATATTCATGTATTACTATGTTTTAGAAAATAATTAGTTTTAATTACAGCAGGGAGAGAGTGAGCAAGCTCTGGTGAATTAGCTGGCAAGCTCTGTGGTGCTAATTTGCTAATACCGTTAGCATCGCTGCAGGTTGAGACCATAGGTCCTGCCAAAAAAATCTACCCTGCCACGTGCCCATGAGTTTACATCGGCACACTCAATGATGCACTTTGAAATCCTGTATTTTCCATGGCCACATTGGCTTGTTTTTCAAAGCCCATTTGCACCCCAGTCAGCCCTTAAAGTCATCACAACACACACAAATCATAATTGGGATGTTTTTTCTTTTTTTCAAATTACTTTCAATACTTAGACTTTAAGAACTGGAACAAAAAGCTTTTTCAAGTGATGCAGCTGCAGAGAAAAATCTATTGGGATCAGCTAAAAATGCTGTTATTTTTGTGAATGTGTGAAACCTCAAAAAAGCAGCTGAGAGATATTACACCAAGAAGACCGCCTTGTTCAAAGTAGTGGATTGCTTTCGCGCAGTTTTATCTCTGGGGTCTAACAAGATAGGAATTAGCAAAACCGTATATTAAAAAACACCCTTTTTAGAAGAACAGAAGGATAAAAGGCAGGACAAGTGTGAAAAGAAGGTCTTATTCATGAAAGTCCACATGTCCTTGCCAGTTATTCCCAGAGTGGGTTCACAGGAATGACGGCCAGCAGTCTAGACCGAGGTGAGGTCGCAGGCACAGGGCTTCTGTGAGGACCTGCTTCTCCAATGGCTGCGTGTTGTCGCTATTTATAATAAGTTATGTCTGAAGACTATTTTGAAAACAGAAATAGTAATATCCTAGTTTATGCATTAAATGTGTAGATGTATATGAAATCAATTTTTAAGCATAAAGAACTAGGCCAATTGTATCATAATAATTAGTGATAATTTACACTGATTTAAAAATCAGATTTACATGAATATAAGCATATATGTTGTTTTGAAATTCCCCCAATTTCTTCACTATTATTCATTTTTAAATGGACATTTTGGGAATGCAAATATAAAAATTGTCAAAAGTCACATTGCTCTATTATTTTAAGAAATAAGAAGAGCATTTAGAGTAATAGTTTTACTTAATACTTCTGCCTTACAATGTAAATTTTATTTTACTAAATGGATCACAAGGTCTTTCCTTACTATGGCTTTTCCTATTCTTTTTGTTGAAATGCTTATTTTTGACTTCTTACCAGAAATCTCAATGAATCACTGCAAAGAGCCATATGCCTCCCAGGGCAATGAGACTCCAGGGCACAATTTTTTCTCCTTTCCCAGAAGAGAAAGACCACCACTACTACAAGGATGTGTTAGATCAAGGCACTGTTCTTTCTCCTGTTGACATCTGTAATCCGGTATGTAAAGTTCAGACATAAAAAGGGGTGGTAAAGAATCTGTGACTGCAGAAAGTGCTGCGTGAGTACTGTAAATACATTTCAAGTTCTAGCCTCTGGCTTCACCATGGGAATTTAGAGCTACAGTTATTTCTTAAAGTGTGGGTCAAGGTCCTAAGGCAGCTATTCTACACTGGATTTAATATATTCAAGAAGAACATAAAAAACATAAGACATGAGTGAAACTGAACTTAAACATTCAGTCCTAGTTTCTCATAGCTTCCTTTATTTTACTCTCTACAAGGCTGCAAAACCATTCCCAGAAGATGGTAAAATAGGATCAGAAACATCCAAACTGTTATTTTCTTTTCATGGTAATACACCACACTCTGCAAAAGATTTTGTTCCTTGTTTTTGAAAACACAAAGGGCCTATATATGTGTGTACATCTGTGGACATTCATGACTATTTTTATATGTGGCTAAAGATAAAGTATACTGTTAACATAACACATACAAAAGATAGGAGAAAGCTCAGGAGAAACATTTTTTTCTCACTATATCAGCCAGGCCCCGAGAGAATCCCCTGAAACGCCCTATATATATGCCGACCCTCCACAGGGGCAGTGCCAGGGACAGCGTGGGAGGCTTTGCCCACCCGGTAGTCCCGACACGCCTGCTCCTGCTCCAGCTGTCTGCAGTGAGCTCCCTATGTGGGGCTGCTCTGGGAAAACCCAAGCCACCTACAAAGTCTAAAGCCACCCAAAACCTCTGGCAGAATCTCAGTCTTTTCCCCCAGCTGAAAAGATTTTTTATAATTTATTCAAGTACTTTATATTGGGGGGGGGGCAGTAATTCACGTAAAATCATTAATTTAAAGCAAGCAAGCAAACAAAAAACCTCCAACAAGCTTTATAAACCACTTAGACAACCAACTACTAGCAATGATGCTAAAGATCAAATCTTCCTTTGTGAAAGACCCTAAAGTCCCAAGATGGAAAACAGCTATCCAAGTAGCAGTCTTATAGTCTAGGCATAGTTTTGTAAATCTTTTCTTATTTCATAAGAGCAAATTATCTGGTAAACAGCTAATGCCACACACAAAGCTGGCAGCAGGAGACTGCCAGGAGCCACCGAGCAAATGAGCAACACTCTGAGTCAGTGGTTCTCAAACTCTAGCACGCACATGTGAAAATTACCTTAGGAGTCTGCTAAGAATGCAGACTCCAGGACCCCCGTCAGAAATTCTGATGGGAGCCCAGGAACCTGCAGTTGTTACAAGCAGTCCAGGAGATCCTGAAGTAGGTGGTTCTTAGTTTTTGTGGCAGTGTGACTGACCTTTTTTCTTTGTGAAGGACTACTGGAGCCAGTATAGCCTGTATGGGCAGGACACACTAATAGGACATGTTGCCCTTGGGAGTGAGCAATGCTGGGTTAGCACCAAGACCCACTGCTGGAATGTGGCTGGAGCTCTGTGGGAGAGGAAGGCTTGGCTGCGGCGGCACGTGGCGCTCCTTCACTATCCTCGGTAGCGGGATGCCTACGATTTGTAGAGTAACTTCTGGTGAGGCAAACTTGGAACCACAGATGGAAGATAGATTTTTTGGAATTTGGATGTTCACTTTAAGATGATGGTTTATAGGCAGATGGTTAATATGGCTAATGAATATTATAAAATGAAATACAAATAAGTAAAATCCAACCAATAAAACAGGTATTACATAAGGGCACTCTTAACAAAGTTACACATGACTTGTACTTTTGCCCATAGTAATACATAATTCTAAACTTAATCCAAATAGTTAAACCAAACCAAACCAAAAGAGCTACTTTAGAGGGAAAAACACCGCACTGCTTACCACCCTACTGTCCCTGGCATTTTAAGTGAAGAAATAGTTGTCACATTCATACTCACACTGACTCCATTTAGATAATTACTTGCTCACTGAAGCCTGTAACAATTTGTCACTACACAGGAGGATTTTTTGGCCCCATGCACTGTATGCAACGCAATTGTTTGAACTCAACAAAGAGATGCAAGCTGCACTGGCTACTTGCTGAGGTTCAGAAAACTCCACCACCGGCCCTGGCCTCACTGGTATTACTTTCACTTTCTCCAAAAGTGCCTTTTGATGGAGAAATGCTTTATCACTGGTAATTTATCTCCAGGAGCCCAAACTAAGTAGACTGCTGTGATGATGACCCAAGCCATTCCTGGCCAAGCCCTAATAAAGTCAAATGTAGACCTTCAGACCAAAACTCTCACCAGGAGCTACACTAGAACGTTCTGTGTCATTCCTGTTTCCCTCAGAGATCATAACGTAGTTACAGAAGATTCTCATGCACCTATCGATAGATACACAGTAAATGCTAAATGGTCAATACTCAATGATCCTCTGGATGATTACTTTCTATCAGGTAGCATTTGATATAACAAAAGCTGGAATAAAATCACATAAATGTAGAGAAAATTTTGATAAATGTTTAAATTATTAAAAATTCAATATTTCAAAATGCACAATGCAATAAAAAATATACTACCCCATACAAAAGGCTATGAGGATAAATGGTCTTTCACTGAATAGATTTCTTTTGTATGAAATAATGAATAGCTGAATTATCTGAAAAATAATAATGAAAAGAAACCCTCTCTGTGAATCTCCATTAAATGGGTTGCTCCTTAGGGATACATAAATCTCAGGCAGGGCACTATGCTGTCTGTTTATTGTTGGTGATTTTTGTGGCTCTGGGTTCCAAAGGAAAAAGGGAGAAATGAGTATTGCTAATAGGAGATGAAAATTTATTGTGTAATTCCAGTGCTTTGAAGTAATTTTGTTTCAGCAAGCCAGATAAAATATATGACGTCACACTCAAATACTCTACTACCTGGGATAGCAAGATGTAAGGAGGAGAGAAGGCTTTTGGCTAACAGACTGCTCCAGACGTTTTCAATTTCATCTCAAACGTAGAAAACATCCACCTCACTGGGATGAATAACCTTGCCTGCTTAGCATCAAGAAGGGCTATTCTATTTATCTAAAATTTCATTTTTACCAACAGTTTCCATATTTTCCTCTTTCACAGATCATTCAAGAGAAGCAATTAGGGAATGTCACTATTAAATTAGACCCCAGAAATCAACGACTCGGAAGCTCACATAGAAGGAAAGCCCAGCCTCTCACCGTCTGTTCTGTCTGACACAGAAACATCAGCTTTTGGGGAGGCTTTTCAAAGATGGGGAGGCCAGAAAGGCTGCGAAAGGCAGAGGAAATGAAAAACGGTGATCAGAGAGAACGAAAGCTCTACCTACACAATGTTTCATTAACACCTATTCAAGCATTGGAGGACACACACTGGCTAAGCCAAGCTCTGTATTAACTAGAGAGGATCCCACCAAAGGGTATCCGCTATTCTAATATGTGACATTGTCTTTAGGTAGTTAGAGAACTTGCAGAGGTGATTCAAGGGTCTCAAAGAGTCTAAGAACACGGGAGATCTGCACAGCTTTAGACATTCTTGGTATTTCCCACAAATTGACAGAATACTTTTACTGCACTAATCAGATGTGATTTTGTAAGAATGCAACTGTTGAGATTATAAAGTGGGTTAAAACAACCAAACATGGGCCGAGCACGTGGCGCACTCGGATCCTATATAGGGATGACCGGTGCGCTCACAGCGTTCACTGGCTGAGCGCGGTGCAGCCGGTCTCAAAAAGGACAAAAAAACCAAAAACAAAAACAAAAACAAAAGAACCAAACATAATGAAATACTTAAAATAATTTCTCAGTAGAGACAATCCCAAAAAGTACTTATGAAGCAACTACTTCCACATATATATTTAGAGGTGTTTCCCTAAATGAAAAAAAGTACATCGAATCCCCCTTATTCTGTCCTTCAAACATTTCCTCTGAAATGCAAATTCTAAATGCTTATCTCCACTACTATCAAGCGAAGAGTTTTTGTCTTGGAATCTTCCAACACTCCTAATAATTCCCAAAGATAAAGAGAACTTAGTGTGTATATTTAACTAACAGTCACCAATGATACTTAAAATATGTCCACATATTGTAGAGAATGAATAAAAACAATTTACATAAAATATAATGCAATCCTCAAGATTTAAATAGATTAAGCAGGTTTCTAAGAAGTAGTAAAGCAGTAGTATGCCCATTCTCACCAATCGACCTGCCTTCTCAAGTTGTTTGGGCATATTCATTGGTGGAAGCCTAAGAGGAGGAGGGGACAGAGCAGGCAGCCCTCAGGAGCACAGAGCTGGCAAGGTTACCTGTCGAGCTGTTCACCATAGCGGGTGTCATGCTGTAAGGCGGGGCCTGTGTGTTCATCAGACCAGAGCTGTTGTTCATGGGCTGGCTGTAGGGAGAGCTGGAAGCCATAAGTCCACTCTGGTTCATGCCAGGAAAACTGCCTTGCCTATACAAAGAGAAAGCACAGGCACACATATATTGACCATGCACATTCTCAGTAGTTTGTCCTGGCAGTCATTTCTAATAATGCATTTATGTAAGGAATGGGACTATTATTTCGCATGTTTGCTTAAAACAGATTATTTCTTGGAGAAAGAAGCTGAACTCTATTGCTAGGTAACTAAATAATACGCTACTTAAAAATTCCAAATAATATAAGTTCCGCAAATAAAATACAGATTTTTAATCATGTCAAGTGTTCCAAGTTATTGGGAACATAAGCAAGAAAGGGGAAACTTGAAATAAGAACAGGAATTACAAAAGCAAGCAAAATTAATGTTAACATTTAATAAGATCTGACTATTAACACTACTTAGTGTCCTCACATCAAAAACCAGAAGTCAAGAAATGAAAGAGGAACAGGCAGTGTGGGCATGTTATTTAAAAAAAATGTCTTTGACCTAAATGTTCTGATATAATAACTATGGGAGAAAGCATTTCCAAAACTCTGTTCAACCCTATTATTTGACTTTTCATTAGGCTCTATTAAAAACATACCAATTTCCCTATACTAAAATTACACAGTAGACATCAGACTTGCACTTCTTTTTGGTGGGGTTTTTGTGTCAGAGGAGAGGTTGGGCTTAGTTAGGTTAGCTGTGAATGTCCCTAACACTCCCCACTTCTGGTGTTACAGACCCTTGGTGCCTTAGTTTTGTCCCACACTTTGAGAGACAACTTCTCTTCACCTTGCATTGGGGAGACAACTGTCACACAATGTCATTTCTCTGACTGCTGCTCATGAGACTGGGAGAGGGAGAGAGATTAAGGCTGCACAGTGACTTAGTTCTCCAAGGAAAAATTACAATTTAGAAAAAGATGATGGCAAGGCGGCAAAAACTTTTCAAGATTCTACCTTTGCAGTCAATCTTTTCTTATGTAAATAGTATACCTTCAAAAAACTTTTCAGAGTTTTGGCTGATAATGTTTAATCTTAGGAGTAAAGTTAATAAAAGGGGTAAAAATCCACAGACACTGCTTATCTGTACCAAATTAATTATGATTACTCTACCACCATTAAACCATCACTCAGTGGTTCTTAATGCACAAAAGCCAACATTTAAAAAGAGATTCTTTAAAAGACTAACATAAATCATTTCTAAAAACCATTACACCTTTCCTTTTGTGTATCTATTTTCAGTGAACTCAACTTTCAGGCTTGTAGAGAAAGTTCAAACATGGACCATTTAAAAAAATCAAAGTATCAAAGGCTTAAGTGTTCTTTTTTCTTTTAAATATTAGACAAACCATTCAGGGAAATTCTGTGCAAACTAAAACTCAATGATGGCTTGGTAAGAACATTCTTAGAAGGCTGAAGGCCCAATGCACAGTGCGAGTGTGGCTATGGGAGAAATGTGTTACTGTAGCTATCGACTCTCAGTGCACTAAGGGTCCACTCGAACAACTACAGCCTCCTCCATCAGTGTCATGATACCCGGTGCAGTTCTTTAAGAACAGATCTAAGGTCAGCCAATGGCTTCTGCCTAACCTCTAGGACCTCTGATACCTATAAATACCTTGCACAGTAGCTACAAACATATTCCTACATGGGCAGGTCTTAACATCATCCTGTAGATTGTTGGCATTAACTCAAGTATCTTAGGTTTCTTTCTGAGGTGTTTGCATTTATTTATTTTTTTTTTGTCTTTTTTCCGTGTCCGGCAACGGATCGCAACCCTCAGTGTTGCCCCCGTACCGGACCGGGGACCGGCGACGGTATCGCAAGCCTCGGCGTTGCTCCCGCGCCTCGCTCAGCCAGTGAGCGGGAGCCGGTCTGTACGTGGGATCCGAACCCTCGGACGGGAGCGCTGCTGCGCTTCCCCGGTGGCGCACTATCCAGTGCGCCACCGGGCCGGCCCAGAGGTGTTTGCATTTAAACAAGGTACAATTTGGCACGTATGCAACTGTTTCATAAGTAGCACCTGTTGGGACTATTCTCTCAATTCCTTATCAGAAAAATCACTGAAGAGCACCCTTAAATTATGAACAGGTTGTGTGTTCTGGAAGACTACTTCCAAGTCACAGCCAATTCTGACCATTCTGCAAGATCCATCTTCACGGCCACCTCCTGTGCGAAGGCTGTCTGCATTCCTCTACCTGGAAGTAAGCTCTGCCTCCTCAACTTAAGCTTCGTATGTGTCTTTTATACCACTTAGCTCTTTCTTTGTATGTTAAAATAATTTATGTATGTCTTGGCTCTCCTAGGTGTATAAGCTTCCTGAGAGGAGGATGGGGGTCTAATTAATCTTTGCACATGAGAGTTACTAAAAAAAAATTTGCTAAATGAGTCAATTAATAGAGAACATTTTGATCTTTATAAAAAGGCATAAAAGACGGTCACCTTTTCAAGCTTCCGCTAAATTCTGTTTCACATGTAATGTGTGTGAAACTAATGGTTCCCTGAGACACTTGTTTATGGTAAGGTGGAAAAGAGAATTAGAATATAAAATCTACCCAGCAGATGATTCAATGAAGTGGCCATCCAACCCTAATCTATGATTTCTCCCACAAGTCAGCACTGTCCATCTTTAATCACTGTAAGATGATGAAAGCACACATTATAGGTTTTAAAAAATACACTTAAAACAAAATAAATAAATAAATGAATGAATGAATGAATGAATAAATAAATAAAATACTTAAAGGTCCAAGTGTTGGATGTCAGATGCTAGTTACAATAGTCCTCAATTAAACCATGTCTGTAGTTTTAAGTATGGATAAAATGCCAGGGGTCTTGACTCTGTCACCAGACATACTTCCTACTGTCACTAGGGGTCTGGGAACAAATCACTTCCATTCTTTGGGCCTCAGTTTTTACATATGAAATGGAGGAGCTGATAACAACAACATTAATAATTTACTAAGCACTTATAAACATGCCTAGTGTGATTCCTAGGCACTTTTCACATTTAATTTTTTAAATTCCTAGAGGAAGGTGGGAAGAAATATGCTCATATACGAACAAAGAGAATAAGGATCAGAGAGGTCAAGTACCCTGCTGAAGGTCACACAGGTAGCAAGCAGCAGAAACAGAAACCCCTAACCTGCTTTTCATCCAGTACACTATTACTTCTCTGTGGGCCTTCAACACTGTGCTAACACTTGATGTGACAAAGTATAACGGCACGGAGCAGCCCACGGTATTACACCTTTCTTTGTATCTAGTGCACGAATCTTTAGTTGTGGAAAGCTGACCACTCAGAATGGTGCTTTTCTCAGCATCCTCTCTGGGCCCCCTGGAGTAGACTTCAGGGAGGTGGGCACAGGGAGAGGGGTGGTGACAGATGTCAATAAAACAGCTCCCTGGACACCTGCTTCTAGGACGGAGTTGGACATCCGAGTGGGGAAGCAGCAGAAAGGGAAACGAGTCTTCCCAGGAATGCAGGGCATGAGTGGCCATGAGCACAGCAGCTGGTCACCTAAGTCGGGGAGTCTTTCATCATTGCAGAAGAAATCCGGTTCAGTACTGCTTTGAAAACTTTTGCCAATAGTACTGGAAATTTTGAACAAGCAAGATGGGCATCATGCTAAAAGAGCTTTCAATACGCTCTTCTGTTGAGCACTGGAAATTGAGACAATTTGTTTTGTGGAAGGAAACAAGAAATCACCACTCTGCCTAACCCGAGCATTCCCCAGCACATTGTGCTGCTGCTAATACAAGAGGATTTCTGTTTGGTTGGGCTGAATACAACTACCAGGATCGCAGCAACCTCACTTTTGAGGCGAAGGGCTGAGTTACCACAGATGAAGCTGGCTCCTCTCCAGATCAGCACTCACTGCTGCTAAGTCCCTTTCTGACCACAGCGACATTTGGAACACTCCAAATGGAATTGGGAGAGTGAAGAAATGAATCACCATTTTCTTTTTGCAAAAGGAAACAAGAGCAACAAAACAAAAACAGGCGAAAATACAGATTGAAATGAGGGGAACATTTTCAATGTAAAACCCAAACCTGGGTTACACCTAGAAAAGCAAAGTGTCCTTCAGGTTATTGTGTATACCGGGTCTACAGGCTGGGAGAGTTTTTGTTACAAATTGCTATCTGTAGGTTCCTAATCCATGGCTGTGGCAATGTGTGCCCAATAACATCTCGGGGAGGGGGGGGGGGCAGTCATTTGACAGACATTTTGAAGCAATTTTGTGTCGCCGTTTTGGTGACATGCTGCGGAGGCAGACCACACACTGTGGAAGTGACCCTGGAAGGTGGCGCTCACAGATCACAGTGGGCTGACCAGCTGCCTGGGACAGGCTGCACCATGGCACCATCCCTTCCACCTTTCAAACAGCAAAGTATGACATGGGGGGCTGAACTGCAGAATAACCAGAACTTTTTTTTTACACTGGTCTTCGGTTGGGACCAGGCGTATTTATGGTCTGTCATTCTATGACAAAAAACAGGTTATTGTAATGAGATTAATTCAGGAGTGAGGCCTGCAAATGCATTTCCCCAAAGCACCCCCTGTTCCTGCTTCTCACTACACACACACTCCAATAGTTTTTATGGATTTTCCTTTATTCACTTTGGAGATTTCTCAAACATTACACGTCCATCTGCCAACAAAGGGCTGGCTTGGGAGGGGGGCGGGAAGAGCAGAAGCAAGCACCAATTTCCACTGGTTCAGTGTGAAGCCAAAAGGAGAATGTAGCTTCTCTCCACAATTTGAAATTAGCAGTTCAAAATATTAGTATGAAATCCTATATAGTACTGCTGAATTTTTAAATACCTTGTTTTAAGTCAAGTACAATAGAACTTAAAATAAAACTTATATATGATTTTGGTGCTTTAAAAAAGAATATTTAAGCCTTACCATTTTAGCAAATTTCTCAACAGTGATAGTGGGGAAGTGTGAGATTATATCTTGAAAATGAATGGATTCCTGACACAGCTCTTTGGAGAAGAGTAGGAACAGACAGACAAAACGCTCTGGAAACAGAGAACACGTGAGT